ATTCTCAACAAAAACCACACATGCCCGTTTTGAGCGGTAAGCTCAAGAAGAGTCGTCACCGCCATGTGACTGAAGGTGTTGAAGAAAGGATTTTAAGGAACGGAAAGTGGGTGGGTAAATGCCCATGGGTGCGAAGACACCTTACTGATGACGACCTACGAAACAGTTCATTCAGAAAGGTTGATGCGCAACTTGTGGCAACCGGCTCCAAACCACTGGTTGATGAATCAGAACTTTATAGGAATGAGCCCTTGCTCTCGAATAACCAGTCATAACCAGTTACTTATGCCCATGAAGGCGAGGCGAAGATGGTAACTGTGAAGCTGCGCAAAGAGTGAAGAGAAACGAAGCGAAGCGGTTGGCACCAATGGCAAACCGGTGCTACTGACAAGGTCGCAAGTTTGCCATGCCCAGTCTTCCTCCTAGGAACCCGCAAATGAACCAGTGCACAGCCAAAAAGGGCTTTCATGAACCATGTGTTGTTATCCAAGGGCCCGAGCCCACAAGCAACAAGTGGCGCCGGACCAGGGCGTCGAGCGCCCGTAATTTCAGGAACGGCTGGACCTACCGAGAGTCATTGTTAGTGGGCTTCCGACCAACAACTTCGACAAATCCTTGGATATCCCCAATAGAAGGTCCAATCGTCCTTGCCAACGACCGCGTTTACACTTCAAAGGTGATCAAGATGAATATGCGTCCAAACAATTTTTTTTGAACAGAACGGTAGCATGGACAACGGAGTAACCACGGGATAAACTAAGATACCAGTGTGGCGTCAGACAACCAATTTTCCCAACCATATGGGTCTCGCCTCCCAGTTCGTTGTCACAGCCTCCTATTATTCTGGATGGGAAGTCGTAAAGGGCTGAGCGCGGCCATGTTGCAAAAGCCACGCCGAATACAAAGGAACTATAAACCAGGGAATAACGGGCTCTTCAAATTCTTACAGCCAGACTCAGACAAGCACCTATGACTCCCCGCAATTGAGCGTCGTGGCTGGTATGCGTCGCATTGCCAGCCATAGACGTGTTGGATTTGTGAATGCACAGCATCGCTGACGTACCATTTAAATCCTGACGATTGGCGGTGCTGACTGTCAACAAAAGATCAAACCTTATGATAGACGTTGATAGTGGTCAGCAGAAGTACTGCAACAATGGCCGGGGTTAGCTGGGGTATGGGTGAAGGTGCTGTCAGACGCGGCATCTGATGCTGTCACTTGCCAACCCAAGCTTTGGTCCGCAAACAATTTAGCACCACGTGAGCTTTCCTTTAGCGTAGGGTCGAAACATAACCAGAAATACCTAAAAAGAATTCTTATGTTGAATCATGTAGATTGTAACATCCACACGAGCTCCGGGACGCGAAAGCACGGTGTTGAGACCAGTGTCCCGGACTGGTCGCCATAGCCGTTCATTGCTTCAAGTCGCAACCGCTTCGAAGCATCCGACTTCACGTGGCCCGCTGGGAAAGCTCAAAACGCTACTGGCAGGATTTGATCGTCAGTAGAGCGGAGTAGTACGAGGCCTACGCTTTACTTCAAAACAATGGTTAGGCCCGCAAGACTTCACCGATCCAATCCGCCCAATCAAGAAAGAAACGTTCCATATTGACCGTCCACCTATAAATCCGGGCAGTCTGCTCACTGAAGAGACAAGAGAACGCCTCGACTTTCAAACCGACATTCTTTGGGTGACACGGCACCGAAACCTCATATACTGTCGAGTACGCTGATGCAGACTGGCAAACCGCGATCGAGGGACGGCGATCAAGGTTGTTGAGGTGCTCTGAACTCGGGAAGTCAAATCAAGGCTTGCCGTTGCCTTTCCAAAATCGACATTTGGATAAAACAAGAAGTCCTCTGCTCCAAGCCGTAGATTGAAGTGCATCACGATCGATCTTGTCGTCATCAGCGTAATCACATCAAGCAGGCCAAAGGAGACGACAAACATCAACATCCACCTTCGCACCAGCATTTGAGGATCGGAACTCATTCCAATGATCTTGGCACTGCGGAGGCGTCATCTTGGATGCTGTCTCAGGAAGGGAAGTTGAGAATCAGTGAATTACACTGGCGTCGGATGAGAGACACGCCATGGGTGATCGGCGCTCGTCAAAGCCAGACGAGAAAACAGGACCTTTCAAGAGCGGAAGTGCACCCCCTTCCGAAGCATCAAAGTCGTACGGCAGGCTCACTCATCTGACCGAGATGGAATAAAGTGGCAAGTATAAAGGAAAAGGAACCGTCTGCACGGGATCAGGGCGGCAGCGGACAAAGCCACCACTTTTGACTGAATTGCTCTTTCAACAAAGATCAGAAGTAGAAGCAAGAGGATGCCACTGATGGAGGACGGAAGTGAACCGCCCAAAAATATGGACTCCGTGCAAAAGGTCGACGAGTGTTTCAATGATGGGTATTCAGGAAGAGGCGCCCGATGGACTCAAGCCAGCGAACACGCAAGCTGGTTTACGTGTTTCAAAGAGCGATACATCCATTCTCGGTGGTCCCACAAACTCAAAAGACCAGGTGCGTGTGCCGCACAAAGAAACTCCTTACTTGAGCGTTGTCCAAACATAGTCAACTCTGCTACTCTGCATCAGAAAGGTCCAATCCACTCTCAAAAACAACGCTGATCCTAAGAACCTAAAAATACGCCCGTCAACGACTATCAAAACTGACCGGAGCACTTATTTGCGAGCCCCCATCCTGCCATCTCAACTCAGCAGCTGTTCCCTCTGTGAACACCGCACAGTAAGCGGAACTCGGACGTTGCCCTTATTGCCGCTCCCGAATAGAGCTGGCATCTCTTCTCACTCAATTGTCGCTCCCGAAATTAGCCGGCAGTTCTTCTGAGAAGTACGCCATAAGGCCGTTGTCCAGATGTAGGACGTTCTTGTATCCGTCCACGACTAGGTAGTAGGCAGCAATCAGCGACCTGCACGTTAAGGGGCACTGATTTGGAACCGGGTTTCGAAGCCGCTGGAGACTTTGATAATAGAGCAAGGAACGCGTTACAGAACTAAGACTGTCCTTTTCGATCTGCGGATTTCGACATCCTAAAACGGAGACAAGACCGAAACCCAAGTTGCCACAATAACAACGAAGCGCCACGCTCCTTTTGATCTGAGTCGGTCGCATGGCCTGATCTTGAAACGTCTTGATTCTTTACATCATCGGCGAGCACACAAAGATGTCGGCATCAGTACGGAATGAGGGAAGTTATGGGAAAGGTGATCAAAGCCTGGAGGAATGTAAACGGAGAAGAGAGGAGGGCGAGGCAGATCACGAGCAACCGACCGGTCTCTGCATTACATGTTTGAACAGAAAAGAAGCGAAGCTCTGCCAAAGGAACCTTGTGAATCCACAGCCCGAAGCCCCCTCGCAACTTCTGGTGCGTACTAGCGAAGCTACGAAGCATCTATTCTTGTGGAGCACCGTCGGTCGGTGCTTCCACTCGCTTCACTCAGGAATCGGACTCGAGGAAGCAAGGAGAAAACTGGGGGCACGAAAGGGGTCCATTGTGGAGATCAAAAGCTGCTCATCCGGATAAAGTTGCTTCACAAGCGGTTGGCGGCGGCGCCGAACTCCTGAAAATTTGAGCCCTTGCTGGTCATGCCCCTCAAGATCGTTTGAACTTTTGGAACCGGACGCGGACACCGGACACCGGACACCGGAATCGGAACCGGAACCGGAACCGGAACAAGAACCGGAACCGGAAGGTTGACAGGTGAAAAACGGGTCGCGCTTTCAGGCTCGCTATCGGAGTTCGCGGCAGCAAGGAATCTCCTACCGGAACACTTGTCCACATAGAAAACATTATTCAATCCGGTCTACCAGAAACGGGCGGCAAAAGTGACTTTCCGCAGTACGAACGACCAGAAACGCAACGATGGAGAGCAACACGGGAAAGCAGGACATTCCATGAGAAAAAAATATGCACACGCTAGAAGCGAGCCGTACCGTGATTGCTTTCCCTCTGGAAAGTTGGCTGAAGGCCGTGTGCTCCCCCCTGCCGTGCACGCCACAATGATCTTGGCGTCTTTCTCCGGGAAGGTCGCCCTCACATCTATAAGAGAAGCAGATCGTGCTGGTCAATCAGGGCATTGCAAATTTTGCAAAGACTTTGTAACCAAGCTTTTGGCGTCCTCAGATAATTGGGGTAGTTAAGGCTAACGCTTGAACTCGGAACAGACCGGACAGTCAGCTAATGATGATCAAAGAACAACAATGAAGCCGCACTCAGTAATCCCCTCCAGATGAGGTCTAAATCATTAATAAGCGCTGAGATGTGCATTTTATGACAAATTGCTGGCACAAGCGCAGCTCGAGCAATCACCCTCCTTCGAGCCCCTTGATTAAGGTTGCCAACCTGAGACGAATGCACAACGGACCAGCTTCTTCAGCTAAGGTCAGAAGCCCACTCTTTCACTACGCCTGCTTGTTCCTAGGGCCCCAAGACAAGGCCATGCTAATTCCCAACAATAGACGGAAACTTTCTCCTCGAAGCACCCTCAAGAAGTTGGCTGTTGAAGTTCGCTTCCACCAAATCATTGATACGTTTCTACAAGCTGCATTATGTTTGGTTCACTGAACCACTTCTTCCGAAGAAGAAGGGTGTCGAGACTGCACAAATGCTGTCACCAAACTCTCATGTTTCAGCTCCCCAAACGTCATCAAAGCAAAAAGACGCATCCGTCTCCTGCTCACCTTCGATGAAGCTCGGGTTCTCCTCGGTCCCCTTGAAGATGCCAAAGAATGCAAAGCCCGCACGCCGGATGATCTTGTAGGGTGTCCAGTCTTGGATCGCTCGGTACAGCTGTACGTTGCTGGAGTCCTCAGGGTGGGCCTGGGATAAGGATACAGACCCTCAGACTTTTAAGCACAATCGAAATAAGTTGCACAATTCGTGGCATGATGTCACAAAGCCTTCCTCAAGATGAAATCGATCAGCTGCATCCGGTAGCTTCCAGTCGGCTGTCTATGTACAGAGCTGCCTATTGTTGGACATGCGGAACGTGCGCGCGATCTCTCAGGTATCTTAAGAATCCCCAATCTATGTCATTGGAGGCAGAAATTGCGGTACCCGTCAGGCATCAAGCAAAGGGTATGCGCTTTCATTTTGGAAGTCACGCTCTACCGTCTCGAATGGCCGCCGCTTACGCCAACAGGGGTGGAAGCAATTGCACACCGACACCAGAGATTCCCAGCGACTCCAGCCAGCAACCGCACTGGTTCAATGCTGGTTCACTGCCTTTCTAGAGCAGTCTCTCCAGGCATCACAACTGATACCAGACACAGCAAAGTAGGAACCCACCCAGCAACACATCGTCAATGAGTACCCTTTAGATTTGCTGCGGTTATGTAGCATCTGCTCATTCTCAACCTGAGAGTACTCAACATCAGATACAAGCACGAGGAACAGTCGGTCCCAGAAGCTCACCTCTTTGTAATCATAGTCTGGTCGAACGTCCAGAAACCGGTAGCCCTCCTCGTTGACCAACCGCCTTGCTTCTTTTGGGGCGACGGAGCGCACATTGGCATCGACGAGCACTTTTCTCTTGGCGTCCCACTTCACCTCCGCTGCAGAGACTACGAGGTAACGTCACCACCAGGACGTCAACATCATTGCGTTCCCTTCCTCTTTTCTTTAACGACTTCTCCCCGTTTTTGGCGTCCAGTCATTCCCACATTTGCTGACCCTCCTGTGAACCTTGTTTGACAATAGGAAGGAAAGGGGTTGTTTCCTTTTTGCAGTTTTCCCTCTTCTTTGTGTTGGTGGCAGTTAAGGTGCTCACTTTCCAACAAAACTAGACCAAACTAGACCAAAGTTAAGGAACATGATTGCGAAACGGCAGTTAAGAATGAGAACCAGCTAAAATCTCTGAGAAGATCTAGACTGTGAAGTAGGGGCTGCAGATCTGCCATTACTTCTTGTGCAACTTTGAAGACTGATGTGGTTTCATATTGCTCGGATACCCAAAAAAATGGAATTATTAAGCCCTCGCAGCTCAGTGTGCCAGTCATCAAGCGCCGCCAGACTTTAAGAATAAAAGTGACCGGCTTTTTGGGGGGCCCTCAACCTTGCATTCAAACGTGCAAACATTTGCAGCATGAGCGAGGGCGTGAAAGATGGTAGTCAAATTAGAATCACGAGTGCATGGGCAAGAAACCTGCGGAACAGGGCCAGAACAAGAAAGGCGGTCCATTGCAAGAACTTTCCTTCAAATAGGGTACTCTAATATCTCAACTTCTTAGGCGGGGATGACAATGCAATGCAAAGACTAGAAACTTTTCAACAACTGGGAAACCCCAAGCCAACGGCCAACAAGGTCCTCGTCGTCAAAGTGATGGGGTGCTTAGATTGATGATTGAGCGGGTCGTAACACAACAACATCAAAAAGGGGTACGCACGACAAGCAATCTCTGGGGAATCACATGAGAGCCACAGATAATTGGTCTTCAGAACAGGAGGACTCCAAGACGCATCGGAAGGTGTATGGATTGAAATGCTCATGAAAATCCAGTATGGTGTCTGCTTCAAAGAGCCGCGACGAATCATGACGAAATCATTTGAGGAAGATTCTAAAAAGGAACTTGCCAAGTACCACCACCAGTGAATTGGAAAATGAAAAGTGAAGTACTGCAAAGTTGACAGGTCAGTGCATTTTGATTCTCAGAATTGCTGTCAATCAGCATTGCAAGCTAAATTCCGCGAGACATGTGTCAGCAAAATAAACAGCATGCAGAATGAGCTTCAAACTTGTTACACACACCGAAAATGTACCGCCAGCTCAATCCTAGCCAAACGTCCACCTTCACTTCCCTCACACACATTGCAAATTGGAATAACCTTAAAAAACCCTAACACAAAGCATCAGCATTATCTTCACTTGAAAAGCCAGAAAGCGGGTCATATCAGAAACTAACAACAGGATGTCCGGTTTACCTGATCTCAAAACAAACGTAAGGGAGACGGATTGAGTAATTGGTCACATTGGTGAAAGGAGATTCGTATTTTGAAGCATCTCATTTGCTGGACTAGCTGTGTTCGGACGCTGCTTTAGGTCAGCTGGATACAAACTATCTCAAGAGAGATGTCAGATCTTGTATTGACACCCATTGGGTGCATGGCTTAACCGCTACGGTCCTTAAAATACTGTATGTAGATGATAAATGAGCACTAAAAACTTAGAGTCAGCAGACGCTGCTTAAGAGCTGCTTGTGTCCAGCATTGTCCTTTCAGAAAACAAACCAAAAGCAAGACCAAGTAAAAACAAGCAGACGCTAAGACTCACCAGCCCTCTCTGGCACAATGGCTGCTCTTGCCGTCTGCTTTTGCCGTGGCAATTGGCGGCTACACTGCCTCCCTGCTGGTACTCTCCTTGCGCCTGCCAGAAAATGTGATTCCCCTAAACTTGGCCAAGCGAGCGGGAGGCTCCCGTTGTGGTTGCTTTGCTGCCTAGGAGCGGTCTGCAAGGCGATGCTTCCAAACAAGGCGGCCCGAGTGGCGGCAATTGACGTCGCCATTTGGGCGGTCTTATTCGAAGGAGATCCTCCGCACAAACACTAATTTACAACCGACAAACAGAAAAGTTTTACTAGACAAAAGTGAAGCACCCAGCTTGGCTTGCGCCTCTATCCTTCTGGAAGCTCTAGATTTGTGAGGAAGCAACTTGCAAGCTGCATCCTCTTTCACAGCTGTAGCTCTAGCTTCGTTAGTGAGAATCTTATATTGCATGGGGGGGTCTTTTTCAAGAACATTTACACCGTCGGATTACGATCCAGAGTTTATCTGACGTCTATCATCGAGCACACGAACCCCCCGCCTCGAGTGCGTGGAGGGAACAGATAATTACGGGTCTAGCTAAATCTTGTAGTTACTATAACCAGTTTGATTCCTGGTAAAGGCGTGCTTAACCGGGTTCAAATGATACTCAGATGACCTGCGCGCGCGGTCGCTGGATCCTTGGCGGTTGAGGGACCGTGTCCAACGAAAGGCATCGATGTACCGGTAGACCTCCAGGCGTTTGCAAGTGCAAAGTGGCTGGTTAGCTCAGTCAGTGCAATATGTTGTCTTTTCAAAGGGTCTAAGCTCAGAATTACAGTACCTAGTCTAGCCCTTCATGCACTGCAGTGGATCATCCGCTTTGATCCTTCGATTTTTGAGCATTTATGACATCATTTTTGATACCGCGTTGATCAACACGATAAATGGAGGATGAATTCAAAGATTACATCATCGGCATTGTAGGCCAACGTTTTCTTCCAAGAGCGCTGAATAGCGAGTCGTCTCTCCTGGGATAGATTGCGCCAATGTCCCTGGCAGAGCCAAACACGGCCAGCTGCCGCATCTTCTCAGTGAGGGTCAATTTACACAGACCTCTTCCTCCAGGAAACAAAAGAAGAGTTTCCTACATTGCTTTCAGATTTTGAGGAGGATGAGGAGAAGGAACACGAAGATCTGAGGAGGGTGCACCTTGATACCCCAGCGAGATAACCAGTCAGCTTGTTTGGAAGGAGCGCTTTCTATCAATTCCCAATAAGCAGGCGGCATTGCTGCCGGACCCCTGCAAAATGGGGCTAACCTCAGCGAGGCCCTCAGAAGGAGGGAGCGCGACACAATGGCTCTCTGCAGCCACCGTGACGATTATCCTTATGAACCTCACCGGGATGCTCCAGGCCATCAGCGATCAGCTGTTGCCCTCTGTGTTGCACGAGGTGGCCGAGAGCTTTGACGTCACGCCAACGGAGTTGGGGGGAGTGCAGGCTGTCCGTATATTTGTGTCGGTAAGGAGGGGTCTCCTGTGCAATTCTGCAAAGCTGAGATGCAGGGGCGTCACGAGTGCTTGAATCACCTCTTTCTTTGTTTGCACCGCCACTCTGGTTTTCTCAACCTTGTTTTCTTGCTCGACACATGCTTGCCACAGGATCAAAGGGAGTGACATTGGTTTTTCGTGACTGCTGGTAATTCGGTTTAGCGTTTGGCGAGTCTTTGATACTATAGAAGCATGCCATGGGTGCAGCATGCAGTAGTTGGGAAATACTCTATAGCGACCAGCTTATAAGATTCTTTTGCCGCTTCAGCCTATCAGCATTGCTTGGATGCCACTGAATCAAGTTAAGTTCTCAAGCATACCTGCAGATACTACCTTCTGTTAAGAGGTTCTCTTTTCTCAGCAATGCCATCATGGCCAGGGCAGCAGCATCCGCATGCCACTTTTTAAACCTATCAGCTTGAAGGCCTTGGAAAAGAGCTTCAGCAGTCTGCACCAAACCATATTCTGTGCTCAGTTGCTCAAGTGCAAAGGCGCTGCAGGCAATCTGTCCCTGGTGATCACCATAACTGATTCAGCTTGAAGGTCTCAGAATACAATTCTCACAGCAGCCAATTGCGGATGAGGTAAGCATTAGCATCGTAGGCTGGGCCCTCAAATCATCGTTTTACCCACAGGCGTTTGCATCCCTGATCGCTGCATACCTGGTCAGCATGAAGGTCAACCGCGCGCGCATTGTAGGAATGGGCACCTTGCTGTCTGGCATCACCGCGGCAGGGGTTGCGCTCTCCTTTCGCTACGGGTACATGATGGTCTGGAGAGCCATTGATGGACTCGCCCCCGCACTGGTGGTGCCAGCAGTGCAGTCAATCATTGCAGGTGCGAGGCTTCAGCTCTTTCATCCAGACATATAAGGTCTTTAGGAAGCAGATCTGGCCATGTGTTAGATTCACAGATCTGTTGGCGAGCTAATGCTAGCATCAATCTACCCTATGTGGTGTGGCCAAAACAGTTCAAACCAGTTTAGGCAATTATTTTGAGCTTGAAAGCTGATGCTGTAGCAATTGGGTCCACCAGTAGGGTCTGTAGGGTAAGGTTAACAGAAACCTTCCAGCTGTGCTCTCTCTTCCGGGGATGCAGTCAGGCATTTCAGGTAAGAAGCTTCAGACGGCGTTCCTGTAGGAACTGGATTACTGGTGTGCGAACTTTGATGTGGAAAAAGTGGCTAGCAGATGCATGCAATGGTAAATAGGAATCTGGATGATATGAACCTGCCAACAGCATATGGCACCTGCACTAAGAAATCGGCCGACATTCACCTGAAGCAGCAACCTGCATAGGTCATACACTGCTTTTGAAAACAAGAGTATTACGTTCGAGGGCTGTGAGTAGTGGTAAAGATCAGCGCGTACCAAGCACTGTAATCGAAAGCATGTTGGCAGCTCGGAGGTCCGAGCAGGCAATCTACTTTTCTAGCGTCTCAACCTAAGAGGCGGGATGGGTGATAAAAACTCTGAGGTGACTCCTAGGATAGCTCTAAGTAATTGACGTTCTCCTATTGTTTGCAGATTCCTACACTGAAACGGAGCGAGGCAAAGCGTTCGGATTGTTCTCCATCTGCTGGAGTCTGGGGAGGGTCGTCGGCAGTCTCTTTGGCACTATGATTGCCAGTGGCAAAGGTGAGAACCATTCTGTGTCGTCTAGTGACTTTGGAGGAAACTGACTCCTCTCACGATTAGACCAGAGCACTCAAATATTAGGTCCGCCTTGCAACACCTTTGTAGCAGCTCTCGACAGTACCACGGGCTCTCCAATTTAGATGGCCCCAAGGTCCGTGGAGAATTAGCCAAGTCCTAAAGTCCGTTTCAAATACCTTTTAAAATCATCACAACTTCGACGAAACACTGCTAACGCCCCAGAACATGTCCTGCGTTGAGCACGTTTAGGAACTCCCTTGCTAGAAGGACAGGTCCCTTTGGTTTTTGACCTCATCTTTGATCGGATTGTATAGCTCGAATTTTGCCTTGGTTCTACCTCTGCTCTGGAGAGCTTCGAGGGCGCTGCTCGCTTCTTTCAACCCTGCTTGCATTTCGGTGATCCAGACAGATTGACCGCTTGCGCTTTCATTCAATCCCTAAGCCGACGTTATTGTTTACTTCGCAGTGGGAGGGTTCGAGGGCTGGCGTGCCGCGTTTTGCATCATGTCCTTCGGCGCGGTCTGCCTGGGCATGCTCGTCATCACGCTGGCGTCAGACCCGTCACAGCCGTCAGGCAAACGTCAGCAGCAAGAGTATGAGCGGCTGGCCAGCTCCAAGGGCAGCATCAGCCTCAATACGAAGCAGATTGAGGACACGAATGCAGGTAGGGAAAGACGTCGCTTTTGCATCCTGCGTATCAACGAAAGGTTCGCAAGCTACTTCTCAAAACCAACCCCGTGCTGTTCTATCTCGACTCGACTGAAGCAGCTGAAAAGTAAGTTTGCCGCTCAATTCAAAGATCAGCGATAAGGCACCTGCCAGGCGGTCCGCTTATCTTCGCATTCTCAGCGGCTGTCGCCGACCTTTTGACACCAGCCTGCTTTGCATCTTCTTTGCAGACACGTCTGCGTGGGGTTGTGTCAAGAAGCTGGGCGGGGAGGTGCGCGACGTGTGGCACGTCAAGACTTTCCGCGCGATCGTCCTGCAGGGAGTCGTTGGGTCTTACCCCTGGCAGGTAAGACGGTTCGCGGATGTCTCTCTTCCGGCCAGCTGACTTCTTCTCGTAACTGATTAAACAATATAAGGTGTTTGCCTGCCTGCCTGCCTGCCTGCCTGCCTCAGAGTGTCGGTGATAGATTACGCATTGGGTGTCAAGGGTGTTGGGCCACTTTTTTGCCACGCGAGAACCAAATCCGGCCACATACATGGTCTGGTTGGCTCTTCTTCTATAACGGGTTCCCTCACTTCTTAGAAGATGAGAAGTCTTGAAACCATCTCAAATCTTTTCCTTAGTCGGTAGCAAACGGAAACTTCTGAGGCGTCCGGTCATAATACTATCATTGAAACCCGATCCTTCGGTATTGTATCCATTCTACCACATTGGAATTTGCTAAGTCCGAATTCGAGAGACAAACCCTTTCCTCACCATGTTGCTTGATTTGGTCGGCTCCTCCGACAAGGAACCGGCGCTACTGGGACAACAAACTTATCAAAGGACTAACTTCTCCTTTTTCCTTATTCTCGATATTTCTGACGAGGTAGAGTTTTTCCGTGGCAGGCAATGGCGTTCCTGACCATGTGGCTGGAACTGGTCGGCTTCTCCCACGAGCAATCCGCGCTTCTGATCGCCGCCTTCAGTCTGGGCAACAGTCTCGGCTCCTACATTGGGGGCTGCCTCGGAGACTTGGCCGCGCGCAAGCTGCCAAACACAGGGCGCATCATCTGCTCGCAAATCAGCACGGGCTGCGTCATCCCGACGTTTGCAATCATCCTTCATGGTCTTCCCAGGTCGGTATCGCTTCACTTGACCAAAGAGTCCGGACCTCTTGCTCCTAGCTGCTTGTTTTCCTTTTCTTAGGCTCTCCACTGTCTGTGTCCCTTTCACTGTCGTCTGTTTGAAGAATCGAAACCAAGGCCAGGTGGAATACTATCAAACTTCCTAGCGCCCTTTGTTTCGGGTTCTCGCCAACGTTCACTTAAAGTGGTCTCGAGGCAACATCATGGAGACGTACAATTTGAACTATGCAAAAATGCCCGATGAACACATTTAAAAACCCCCGTAGGATTTGGGAAGATTCCTCGCTTGTTCCGGTCCATCTCTGTGCGTGCGTCCGTCTCGTTTCGTTTCGCGCGCGCAAAACGGCTGATCATAGACTCCAAAAGCTGGGGTCCGGGTTCACCAAGACACAAACTCCAAGATCCGTAATCGATGGGTTCTAATTAAGGTTACCTATCCTCAGGTCCGTCTCGGCGTTCCCGTTTTACTGCGCGGCGTTCTTCATCGGCGGCGCGTGCATCACCTGGAACTCCGCAGCCACCAACAGCCCCATCTTCTCCGAGATCGTGCCAGCACGGCTGCGTACTACAATTTACGCCACAGGTGAAAACCGTTTCCTTTCTTCCTTTTTTAACCTGCTTCTAACCTTTCGCAGCTGTACAATTAGGAGATTCTTGAGGGAGAAGTGTCCAAGGGATCTTGCTGACGAAGTTGTGCTCGCACGGCTACGGAAAAGCATACGTGCCACAGTGCTATGCAGATTCTTGAAGCTTTGGTTTTCTGGCAGAATGGAAGAAGTGCTTTCAAAACGTTCGTAAAGTTTGAGAGAATGGAGGATCAAAATGCTCGTTAAGAAGCCGCAAAAGTACCTTGACGTCCTTGCAGATACGTCCATCATTTTAGTCCTGTATCAGATACGAATGCGTTCTGCGCAGGATACCCTGATGACCGCGGTCCAGAATGCGTTCCCGCCTTTTGGATTCAACCGTGAACACCTTGAAGTTTCACAAGAAGGAAGCTGGCTGAAACTGATTTGTCTTTTTCTCCTGCAGACCGCATGCTGGAGACAATCCTGTCGTCGTTCGGACCGTACGGAGTGGGCCTGGTCGCCGAGCACGTGTACGGCTACGATCTGCACAGACAGGTGAGTGGCTTGTGCTTACGTCAGCGTTGTCATGCTTTCTACTAGGTCTGTCGCTGCTGCCACTCATAATCGCAGAAAAGCGAGCGCAGATCTCAACCGTCTCTGTGTGGACGGTATTCCCCACATCGACGATTTAGATCAGAAATCAGCCTATTCTTCCGCGCTTATTTCAAGGAGAATAATCGGAGGGTTCTCTCTCCCATTACTTCTGTCAGTCTGATTCTCTGTTTATCTTCGTCTCTTTTGCTCAAGGGCGCTGCTTGATGCCTCAGGCAATGGAACCGTTACGGTAACCCTGGATGAGCGCTGTCTTCGGAAATACGCCCTATCCCATTCTGGCAGATCGGGCGCACCAAACCTCTGAACAACCGCGCAGACAAACGGCGAGGACCTGGCGGGCGCGGCCGCGCTTGCGGTCAAATCCTTTTCACTTCGCTGAATATTTTCCTATGTCTGAATGACTAAACCCCTGACTGACTGCAAGCGCGCTCCTCGCGCAGACGAACGGAGCGGACCCGGCGGACGCGGCCGCGCTCGCGGACGCGCTTTTCATGAACATCGCTCTTCCCGCGGCCATGTCTGGGATCTTCTACACGTGGCTCTACTGGACCTACCCCAAGTGAGTGGCGACTCTCGGGCTTGAGTCCAATTAGACTTTACACGGCCTCAGTGTTCACATTGGGGCGGATACAAATCAACATCTAGCCGACGCTTGACTACCTTTATATCAAAATCCGGACCTACTTAAGCCTGACATCACTGAACTCCTTCAAGACGGTATCTACCAAAGTAGAAGAAGACGGAACCCTAGATCTACCCACATAACCGTCTACCTTCGAATAATCTGACGGATCGGTTGGTTTTTCCAAGCTGCATCGTAGCGATTCTCGGCTGGCCGCAAGGCTTAATTAGGGTTCGGTAAAGGGTGCTTCTTCTGTGCTCAAATGAGCTGACAAACCAAACCTGGTCTGAGTGATGTGATCTGTCGCTTCTGTTGAATCACAGGACAGGAGCAAACAACCTCCGGGAAGATATGCACCCAGCGAGTTTCAAAGTAACGAGTCTTGAGGAGCCGGCTTTTAACGTGCACGTGCACTTCCTTTGAGGTGGCTTTTGACGCGCGCACGTGCCCGTTGGATTGAAGCTGGGAACTAGTCAACTTCGATACAGAGTCACTCGGGCACTTCGTCACACGATCAATTGTTCAGCCCATTATCCGGACGTCGAATGTCTGCCTGACACACACGCTTCTTTCTTCTCGTAGGGACCGCGACGACGCGAAGGCGGCCGCACGCCTCGCGGCCGGCGAGGGCGCCCCCTCCACGGAGTTTGCGGAAAAGGCTTCGCTGCTCGCGCAAGACGAGGAGATGGCGCTCCTCGCGACTACGCCCAAGCTGGCCAGCGCGCAAGGGACGGTGCCCCGGTCACGGCGGCAATCGACTGTACAACCGCTCACAATACAGTCTTGATTCTTCGTTGAATTCGCAATGCTTCGAGGGTGATTGGATCGGATAGCCAGTGTCGAAAAGCCTGCAAATATTGTGCGGAACCGTTGGGGAATCACGTCACGTTTTGGCCGATAAAGGAGAGCGACTGGTGGGTGAGATCCTGGCAACAGATGATTGGTAGAAGCCGAGGGGAAATTGATACACCATTTTGAACCAGTTTGGGAACCGTGTAATCTAGAGCACATAAACTCTACGTCCGCGCGCACGCCAACTTGAGTAAATAGCCTCCGTTCTTGAGAACCTACTTGATTAGAAGGCTCGCCTTTGTCCACAGAAACCTCCACAAAACAGAATTGTGCATAGATTGAGTAAGGACAGCCAGCAATTGTCCTACATCTTTGTTCGTTAGCCAGCTAGGGTCTTGCAATAAATTCTTGTCGATCTTGCGGGGCCGAGATCCGACACGCGTGAGCTGGAAGCAACATCGGCAGTGTCCTTCGTTCAATACATGTTTCTTGGAATCAAGCCTAGGGGGCCGCAACTTGTTCTTACAAGTTTCTAAAGAACGGAAATCTTGAACCAGCCAGAACGGCGATCGAGCTTATCTTGGTGTCTTACTAGGCCAACTGGCCCGGCCTGAAAACAAAAATACCGTCGTCACAACAAGTTCGCCGAAGGGCATGACATCATGTAGGCAGTTATAAGTTCGCATTGGATGAGTGTCGGACAATTGAATTCCGTATATGGTATAAGCCTGCACAGCTAGCCTAGTGAGAGCGTACGTTTCAAACTTGTACTGCCAGCATATATGCAGAACATGCCAGGTACTCATCATGTCATCTCGTGGTCGGCCTGGACAAGCAATTACATCAGCGAGCAGAATTAATCATTCGAAGCGGCTTGAGTTGCAGTGCTAGCTTTTGCATTCTGAAGTTCAATCATCCAGATCGACATTTGCCAGAAAGTTGCTCTTTGAGTCAGCTGAGCATGCTGATATTTAATTGGTAATCCAATGATTGAAATTCCTGGTAACATGAATTAGCATACGATCATTGCTGCGCCACCATCCCGAAATGCGACGATAGATTCATTAGTAAGACTGTTAACTATATACAAGACTGGAGTGCATAATGATATGTGCGGCCCATGTGTGTATATAAGAATTGAAAGCCATTGGAGGGCCACCGCTCATGCAATGGATCCACAACGCAACGTAGTGGCAACTTTGCACTGCGGCATCTTGCTTGCACACATGCATTCATGACTAAAGACGTCAAGCTGCTTCACGTTGGCATCACCGTTTAGCTTGAATGATAGTAAGATGGACTTAACCCAACCATGCAATGACAAGATTGCGAACGCAGCCTACCAAGGCGGCCGCGCACCTCACTGACTGAGGCAGCCTATACTCGGCCGGCTCGTGATTGAACCAGGATTGTATATCTAAATGCTTGTGGACCAATTGTGCTGTCAGACGCAGTACTTATCATGAAACCATGTTGTGCTAAAAAGAAAGATTCCACCAACGATGACACGAATTTCGCAACAGACTAACTTGAAAACGAATCTTGGGCATCCTTTATTTAGATGTAAGCGCTCGTTGCTCACAACTTGTGTACCAAAGCTTTCCTTGTTGCTTGAATCTGCAGAAATCGTGATATTGCCTAGAACCTCCAAAGACTCTATGCGTACGTTTGCCTTGACCTTGTCAGAAACCTAGACCTTGACCGAGAATAAATTAAGCTGTGCGCTTATAAGCAACGGATGCTGGTCCTTTTCAGCTTGTACGAAAACTGGATAGGGACACCGGCACACGATGAATGCGATTTGACTCCAAGCGGCTCTTGTAATCTATCTTTTATGCGTGAAATGCTTTGAAAATTGGAAAGGCAGTCACCTTCGCAGTCTCACAGCCTATTTCCCAAAGAATGGCTGACCATAACGGGACGCGTTCAAAATCCCCTGATAATCAATCGGACCGGTTGTTGGCAGAGGTTCAAGTTGAATCGCGTGCCACACTTTTTCAGAACCTTGTTTGATAAGGCTCGCTGGAGCCTGCAGATTGGAAAAGCGGAGAAGTTCAGATTTTGAATGCGAAGTCCGCCAAGAACATTCGTTTTCGATTCAGCGGACTGAACGATGTCACCCTCGCAACTGTTGCAAACGAAATAAACGCTGTAAGGAGAGTCGAATCTGCTCCGTTCACCAGATATGGTCAGTGCCTACGAGGTCAATTCAGGGCTCGTTCAAAAGCGATAATGAGGCGGCGATGTGACGTGGTTAGGAGGGTGCGAAAGGGATGTAATGGAATTGGCAGAATTGTGGGAAGCAGACGTATTATTATCTCGTCTTATTTTGTTTTTTCTTGAGTTCAATGAGTTGAATGCCTTCGCCAAATGATGTGATTGCGCAATCAAGTCGTACGGCACAGAATCGGTTGTAAGTCCCATATTGAACGAAATCACCTAGTACGAAAAGTTACTCGAAGGTCGCGACCTTTGGCTTGCTGACGTCAGCAGCCATCCACGTGAGACGCTGGGGCCGCGCCTACGAAGGCAGAAACGCTCGCGCCGGCGAAACCACCCGTCGAAAACGTCCCCCAACGAAAAAGGACAAAAAAAAGGAACGCCATGTTAGATAAACTTGTGCATTCTTGACAATCTCCAACAAGCGGCTCGAGGCCGCCTGACAAAGGGATGGCAATAGGAGCGTTGCTGAGGTCAGCACTTACGGGGGATGCATGTGCCACTGTTGAAGAGGAAGCCGTTTGAGCAGATGCAAGTGTAGGAGTAGGATCCGGACGGGTTCGGCGTGCAGACGCCGCCTGCGCCGCAGGGGCTGGAAGCGCAGCCTGTGAGCAAGGGTCGGTTAGTCAATCTGTTAACCCGATTGCGACTTATTTTTGCATTTGGCGAATTTGAAGATCAGGGGTAGGCGTGCACATGCCGCCACACCGGCACAGGGGCTGGAAGCGCAGCGCTCCTGTGGACGACGTTTGACTAGTTGGTTAGTTGTTGGGTTTATTTTTTTGCAAGCAGACCGGGTTACTACCTTGTTTTTTGCGCAAACCCAGGGTTCTGGGGCATCAGGGTCAAGCTAACGTGGCTAGACGTAGAGCTCGTGGACAGCAGAGCTGGTATGTGTTGATTCAGGTTCGTGCAGGGTTCTGATTCATATTAATTCGAGACGTGAGCAACTACTTTGCTTGCTCAGCAGCAAAGAGGCTGGAAGAGGCCTACAGAAAACAACCCGATTGTGAAAGTCTTGCCAGGGTTTTTGAAACTCGTCCCTCAACCCGGACAGAAGTAGTTGAAGAAGATTGGAAAAGTCCATTCCCGTTCTTTCGTTGGTGTTTCAGTAAACAGTATGCCTGAACGTGCCTGCACTGCCTTCTCCAATCACCATGTTCTCCAACTCGAAGAGAAGGTGGTACGAATGTGTTGGAAAGGAAGGAACATATGAAGCAAAAGAGAGCTGGAAATGAAGAATACAGAAACTATGCTTAGGACTCGCTAAAAGCTGAAGAAATGATGACCAATTTCTCGTCTCAGTACTAAGCGGACATGCTATGCTTGCTTGCGTCAAGGCCGCAACAGTCCCTTGTCTTTTTCCTCCTTTGTTCTGTGGAGTAAAAGCAAATTCATTTGTGTCGCCACCAAGACGATGATGTCTCACCAGCGGAGGAGCAGTAAGCCTGGACCGCTGCGAGACCGCCCGGGGGGATCAACACTGAGCTGATTCCGTGGACCACGTAGGCCCCCGCCAGCTGAGCGGTGTCAGGATCAATGACAGGGACACCGTTCACTGCAGGCGGAAGCAAGGGGTCAGTCCGAAATTGACTCAGCCAGATCGGTGGTCGCTGACAGTGCAGACTACTTTTCTGGTTGCTGAAAGATGCAGCAAGACGTGCCCTGCTGAGCAATGCAACGGGCACTTTCACCAGCCAATGCAGATGGGGAAAGATAACCAATTGGAAGCAGTGAACCAAGACGGTCACCGTTGATCTCCAAGCAGATATTGGGAGTGGGTGTAACTCCAGCTTGGCTCAGCTTCCTTCTCGATCCCAAGATTGTTAAGCATCAAGTATGATGATATTGTGTCCAACCAATACAGTAACACAAATCCGAAAGTCTACTTGATCTGCACCCATCCACACCCTTAGGCCCCAGGCTAGCCCCAGCAGTCTAGGCGATATGCCCCTCAGATTTCCATTTTGATCCTTCCACTACAGGCTACAGGTTACAGAGCTGATCTGCCTAATCATTGTTGCCCATCAAATTATATACAAGCACGTAAATCTGGGCGTGAGTCTATTTTGGGGAGTCTCCGTTGGTCAAGTGATCTGGCTTAGATGCTAAGGACAGATTTGTTGCAAAGGTCAAATACAAGTGGTATACGGTCACGACAGACCCGATCGACTGCAAAAGTACCATCAGACAGGATTCTGGTGAACCTGGTTATCTCTATGGAACAAGTGGGGATTGCAGATTGTCAACTGACGGTGCATGCACGTTGGCCCTTAGCTTCAGGATCGAAGGCTTGAATACTTTGGCACTGGAACAGTGGTGTCAATTGAAAGACTAACACTTATCAAGTGATTGATGCCATGAGTGTCAGGCTCTTACCAAACACTGAGGTTCCGGTCTTTGTGAGGTTGAGCAGGGCGCCGTTGACTGAGGGCACGCTCTGAGGAAAGACACAGAGATCTGTTAGGATGTACAATGCACTGACTGTAAGCAGATGGCGACACTGTTTTTAGGCTGGACAGATGAGATTCTCTCGAACCCTCTGAGTGTCAAGCATGCAGCAAAGCTTGTTTGAGACTGCCAGCTTTTTGTTGGCCGCGGGCTGAATTAAGTCACCCTTGAATGGAGTCACCCTTCTGAACTCAAATTTTGGTGCAGTCCCCCATGCAGTGGCTTATCCAGAGCAACAAGGAGTTGGAAATGGTCTGGAGAGATGACTGGAGGTTCAGAAAACGTAAGAGGGCTACTCATCAAGCGCCAAACTACGCGCCTGCACTGGGCCATGAATGAGGGCCCAGCAACTAGGTTCCATGCCCTCTTTTGTTGCAAGATGTGTCCATTGGCTTGTACGAGAAGAGCCAGGTGCAAAACAGTCTTTGCATTCTTCCAGGGGCCAACGCCAGGGGCCAATTCTTGGTATCAAACAGCAACCGAGGGTGAAAGATGCACTTGGTGCAAGGTGGTGGATAGAGCCACTTAACTGCACCACCTAATGAGGAGGATACGCAATCAGAGTCTTGAGCTTTTGATCCATTCACAGGGGGACCCCCCTCGCTTCCCTCTGCCCCCACTTTACCCATCTACTTTCGCGCCCTGAGCTCCATAACCAAAGGTCGGTGGGCTGCTTAATCTTGCTCCACCTAACCCAAACATCAAACAGTGTGCATGTCAGAACACATTGATTTGAGACTCTAGTCAACATACCCAGCTCATTCAACATGTGGCGTTCAGCAACTTACCACGGGGGCAGCTGCCAGGATGGTAGTGGCGTTGAACGCGCCCTGGATCACGTGGTAGCGCAGGACCGCGCTCAGGAGGGTTAACCCGGGCTGGTTAGCCAAGCAGTTAATGACGGCAGCTCCCAGGTTACCGAACGCCTCGTTCGTGGGCGCCAGGATCGTGACGCCGGTCGTGTTGGCCAGCATCGCGATGGGCATGGACAGGTTGGCAACGCCAATGGCAGTCGACACGGCGCCGTAGGTCTCGTCAGTCTCCAGGCTTGCTCGAAGAGCGAGGAGCGAGTTGTAGGCGTTGGTTCCCTGCCCTACGCAGGGCTGGGCGCTGAGGAGGGAGATGATGGCGAGGGCAAAGCCTAATGTGGTCATGCTGAGGCGCGCCATTGCGTTGATTAGCGAAGTGCGTTGGGCATGTGTGATTAGCTGTTTTGAATATGATGCAGGGCGAGATCAGTCCGGAACTATTGATTCTCCTTGTTCAAAGTTTCCAGCTATGAGAGGTGTTGAGTTCCAGGTCAACAATGTATGGATGATGGAGGATGGTCTACATTTGATTCAGAAGACCAGTGTAATCGGGTTGCACAAGGTTGCTTTGATCTCAGCTCGCAGCTTATCCTGAGTCCTGACTACGTAGTTGAATGGCCCAGCATGGCACTACGCGTATACCTACGGTATATATGTTGCCATCACAATGGTAATGCGGGGTGCTGATCCCAACGGCTCGATGCCGCCATGGTCAATGCGGCACTGCACTAGGACTGGCCGTTCTGTGCAAGCCTGTAATTACCGGTAATAAGCTAGCAGCAGAAGTGGCAGAACTCAATACGAGCTGGTCCCTGCCACTGGCCAGGCTGGGGGACTCCTCAAGCCTCAACAAGCGCGGCGCTGCCGCAAGGGCGGCTGCCGCCAGAGTTTAGAGGGCCTGTATTTATTTGGTTTTATCATACGACTTAGAAAGCTTTAACCGAACAATCTGAACCAATAGGTACTTTGCCCCGCAAATGCCTGCATGTGCCCATTGGCATCTTGAACCCCTTTCCTAACCCATGTACCGTGTTCCAAGGAATTAAATCACGCTATAGCAGCTACGTATTTAATACAGTATTTAGTACAGTATTACATCATGCGATGCATTCTGCACTTAATGCACTGTCAGGTTAGGGAGCTCCCCGAGACGTCCGATCACGTAAGGCTACTTTCATTGCCGTCGATACAGGATTCTGTAGATGCCAAGCGTCTGCGAGTGCAACGTGGCTATACAAAAAGCCAGGTATCGGGAGTCGGAGTTCGAACCGTTTGTTCCGTACGGAGATTCCAATTTCTAGTTGAACCTGGACGGACGGTCCGATGTCTTCTCCCTTATCCCGACGGTCAGGATAAGCCGAGTTGCGTCATCGTACATGCAGCGTGGTTGGTCAGTTACAAACTTCTCTTATCACAGGTATCCTGTAGACGTGTACTTCTGAGGGTAAATTCAGGAAGGTGTCAAGTGGTTTAGACCTCTGCTTATGATACAAATCTTATATGCAGAGTGGCATGATTTCACGTTTAGAAGGTTGACCGATACCTTCGCTCTCTTAAACCTTACGTGCTGGAGGGCAACGCAAAAAGCCGCGCATTTGGCTAGGGACAAACAGAACAGTCTTGCTCCACCAGGTGCAGATATGAATCGCATGACAGTGCGATCCAACTTTCAGAATGCAGCGGGTCAGAGGGCAACCCTTGCAGGAAACCTGCTACAACGATAACTGGATAACCCATACATAGCGCATGCTGGCCAATGTACTTGGTCTATGGAGACTGTGACTTCTCATTTTCCGCTGAACTTGTAGGACGTCTAAGGTTGAGACTTGCAAACTTACAGACTCTACTGAAGGTAAGCCATGGGTGTAACTCTGCGTCATAAAATTAATGCAGGTACATGTACGTCTAATCAATTCAAGACTCGAGTGAGTCTTAGTGGGAGCTTCACTCGAGCTCCACACACTTTCTTTTAGCTCTAGAAGCCAACAGTAGCTGGCCCCCTATTGCCAACAGCGTAGCCAGGGCCCGGAGCGAGGTGAAGCTGTGAATCAATGCCAGCAGCTGGCTGCCAAACGAGTTGCTGAGGGTTTTACGGGGTGAGGTTTCTGTTCACACCCTTTGCGCCAGCCAGCGAGCTCCTGCTTCCTTTTCTGTCTCTTTGAGGTGCGACTCAGCTCTAACAGCGACCACAGTGGAAATCTGCATGAAGCGGCGCCTGGTCTGTGAAAGCTCTACTGAGCTCTGGCTCTTTTGAGCTCTGGCTCTGAGCTCATCCGAATGCTGGGCATCCCTTTTTCAAATTCAAAGTCCTACAGACATGGATGACGTTTGAATTGATGCAGAGGGCTGCCTTTGCTTTCTAGAGCTGGTATAGTATTTTCTTTGTCAAAGAAGTGGTCACCATGAACAAATAGCTGGGGAGATGAAATAATCGCCGGAGATCACAGCCAACGATTTTCAAATTGCTCAGCTTTATGCATACACTGGCAATTCAAGACCAACCCTAGACACTGCAACTTTACAAGGAGCTCCAAAGCTCACTGCATAAGCTGCACGACTGAATAGGTTGCCAGCAGTAACATGTGCCTAGGTTGCTTCTTTGTCCTGTGGCGAGACTTTGGCAGTGAGCAGGAAACTTGCATGCTACAGCTCAAAGATGGCTGACGGTGCCTAAACACTGGCAGGGTTCGGTGTGCAGAGCACAGACAATACGTAACTCAATGTTGTCACCACTCTTTTGCCTGTTGCGCTGTCTTTTGACAGGGCTTCAAGGCATCCCTTGTTCACCAGATTTCTTTCTACGCATTCAATCCAGTTCAGCTCTATCAATGTCAAAATGCTGGAAGCGGGATGCACACATAAAGTCCATTTGTATCGGCCACATAAGGCACAGCTGATTTGAGCTGCGAATATTGGGCCAGCCACTAAGTTCAAAGTTCACTCAACAGCCTTTTGCAAAGTTTGCAAGAAACCCTTGCCTTACACAGTGGCTTTGCAGAGCCACGTCCATGGAGCCATTCGAGCAGTCAAAAGCCACAAACCACAGTAGGTGACCTGCAGTACCAATGATACAGCTCCCGTGCTTCAACAGTGACCAAAAAAACGCTTCTCAAACGAGAGAGTTTGCCTGTATTTACAGGTGCGATAAACTGTGACCACCCCGCCATCTTCAATGGCAGCCTACCTGTTCGCTGCGTATCAGCGCAAGCGAGGCCCCACTCTCGTTCTCTGCTTCGCCCTAGTTTTCGTCTCGTTCTTGCTCCTCTACAACTCGCCAATCGCTCGCTTCTCTTCGGCAAAACCAGGCCCACGAAGCGTGCTCAGAAGCAGCATTCTGAGGTCTGCCTGGAAACCAGCTTTGACTGAAAAGAGTGCAAACTCTCTGTGGGGGGGATGGAACGAGAAGAAACTAGAGAGGGAAGCCGTTCCCGAGAATGAGCAAGGGGATCCGCTAGAAGCACTTGTGGACGAAGATAGGGACGTGGAAGCGGGGCGGCAACTAGCATGGGGGAACGGCGAAAGTGATGGGTATGGGGCTAGGGCGGACAAGGATGAGAGAGCATCGCAGCGCGGGTTTCAAGTGATATGGGGCCTTGGCAAGAGTCGGTTGGTAGCTACTGGAAAGAATGGGGAAGAAGGAGCACAATCTGGAGACGAGGAGTCGGGGCAAGGCCAGGGGTTTTTGGAAGAACGAGAAGAGTCTGGAGATAACCCAGGGTTAGGGATGCGGGTTAACGAGCACAAAGACGAGTCTACAAAGAGATGGTCGCAAAGCTTGTCAGCTCAGGACATCGAAGGTAAAAGTGCTGAGGCAGTGAGAAGGGATAATGAGGAACTCGTTGACGCGGCTGGAGAACTAGAGCGGGGCGAAATTCAGGATGCGAGTACGATGAGGCCGACGTGGCAGGTAGACAGCGAAGACACGATAGATTTGGGACTTGGCATTGGGAAGGGGGAATCTGTGGACGGAAGCGGAGTTACGGTACTTCAGAAAGAAACGGAGGTTGAGGAGAACGAAAGTATCGAGGGAAGGACCAGAACCGAGGAAGAAGGAAAGGAGGGAAGCGGAACGAACGGAAAGGGAGAAGAGAAAAATGAGATGGAGGAAGCGAGTGAGGCGGATGGTGCAGATCCAGAAGCGAAGAAGGAAGAAAGCAATTCACAGCTGACGGAAGTAAAGGCTACCGAGGGCGAAAGCGAAGTAGTCAGCAGAGAGGGAAAAACAGAGGGTTTGGCAGCCGTATCTTTCCTAGCAGAAGAGAGTGACTCTGAGGCGACTGTGCGTAAGGAAGGCGAAGCAGAATCTGGTATGGAGGAAGTAAAAGGGGAAGAACGTGCGAACCCGGAGGAGGGGGCAACAGAATCCAAGTTGGAAAGCGGGGCAAAAACTGAAGGGGCTGTTTTATTGGAGACGGAAATTGAGGGCAGCGCAATTGAAGATGAAGCTTTGCAACTAGGGGGTGCTTCCGAGTCAGCAGAAGAGGGGGGTCCAGAAACTGCAGAGGAGACGCAAACACCTTCGCCCCAGCAGATTGGTTTTCCACCTCTAGTTACCGAGCCCCTCCCCAGATTTTTGCTGGTGCTTCCCTCGAAGCTGGACGAGTGTCACCGGGCAGTCATTACGCTGATCCTCCAGTCTACTTCTACGGACTCTGCGGCAGATGCCGGAAGCGGAAACGGAAACGGAAACCGGAACGGCGGCGCCGGAAGGGACCTGCAAACACCCCCGACAGTAACGCTGATCGGCGCCGACCCCGACCAAAATCATTACGAAGTCTACCCGTTCAAAAAGTGGCACACTCTACTCTGTCCCATTATGAATTGGTCCGACTGCGGAAGCGAGACGGCGCCTCCCCCCCGAAAGTGGGAGCGCCAGCTGGGGGTCACTTTTCAGGGACAAAGCGACCCCCCCAGATGGGAGGCGGAGTTCTTTCCGGACGTGTCAGCGCTCTCGTACGAAATATCGGTCTCCGGCGTCGAAGTTGTTTCCGTTCGCTTAGATAACGGAACGGTGGCAACGGAAATGGGCCCGGAACACACTTCAAACGATGGGGCAAGTTTGACTGTAGCGGAAGAGCAGGGAGAGGCGGAAAGGGGAAAGGCTCTGCAAACCGATTCCGGTTCTGTTCAGAGGTTTCGGTTGCCTACGCCGTCCGTGCAGATCTGGGAGGCGGAAGGAACCTGCCGGCAGCCTTGGAACCGGTCGCGAACCGGTGAGAAATGAATCTCCTGGCAGAATCTCTTCTTGTTCTTGCCAAATTCTTTGCGCTATCTTCCTCTTTTGTACAACGTCTGCACCCGTGAAAGTTCTCGTAGCTACTCTTTTTGGCCCGAAACAAAGCCTTTGACAGCTTGACAAGTATAACTCCTTTTCGAATGATACATTATTGTGAGGACTTAAAAAGTAGTACTCTAAGCTGTCCTGGAAACTTCCCCAAATACAAATTGGACGAAGGAAAGTCAAGATCTGACTATCGCAGCGAAAGTCAAGAAAAGCCCTTTCTCCCAGAGCTCTTCTAACTTATGCTTGAACTGTAGACTTTCTCAACTAAATCTACTGTCAGAAAACTAAAAAAAATCCTCGAACTCCTCTGCAGGTTGCCAGCCGCTGCTCAACAAAGTGGAGATCCCCCGGGCGCAGGACTTCAAGTTGATCAGGTTAGACGGGGAGTCGGAGGTTCGTACCGGGGAAGACTGGAGCATCGGGGTAAGTCAAGCAGACCCTTCCGCCGGTGGAGTTTGCCGGTCAGAATGAGGCCCTTCAAACGTCGTTTGATTCTTCAGAGATGGTTTTACAAACAGCAATTGATGGAAAGCTGGCAGGCTAGGTAATTGGGCTGTCAATACATTGCTTACATTTGGTCAACACTTTTTGGACGCAGACCTCTCACTGTTACTCTTCTTAGCGTCGGGATCAGCCGTATGGGCACTTATAGAACTCAAAGCTGGTCAGATGTATAAACATCGTCGCAACATCCAAAAACACTTACGGCAAGAAGTCACCGATGGTTTGTCAGACTATTCTCCTGCTTCCGTTGCAGGCTGGTGACACGGTATCATTCCTCGTGCGCCCCATTCCAGACGTTGGAAGCATTCCGCTGCCGCGTATCAGGGACGGATTCCGATCCGCTTCCTTCAATGCAATTCTGGAGAGCGACAGAGTGATTCTGCACGCAAATATCTCGCAGGAGTGAGTAACAGATTTCTTCTTCCCTTTTTGTGGGTGGAACATTCAAATCCTCATCAGGGTGTAGATTATCAAGGTGTCAAGATTACCCCTGTGCAACTTGCTCTTTCCGGAATGATTCGCGACGTGATCTCATACTACGAAACTGGTGCGGCTTCGGGGTTATATCTGTAACGACGATCGGGGTCTTTCGTATGTGAAGGTCTTGCAATTTACATCTGCCTTCGGAGTGTCCAACAGTGCGTGCGCGCGGTTCGAGTACCTTCGTTTCTTTGTGCAGTTCTCCAGACTCTGCTTATCATCTGCGTCGGGTCTTGGCTTCATCTACAAGCTTTCTTCTTGCCCATTTTCAGGGCAGACTTTGAATATTCGACGCAAAATACGGCGCGGTCACTGGCTCTTTTTGATGTTAACCGCGCCTTGAGATGAATCAGTCCTTCCGTTTCATGAGGGTTCTCGCATCAAAAATTTACCAACTACTGAAACCTCTGTTTGCGTTGAAAGGATGTCTAAGTGTCCTCTGTGATGTCCCAGGTTCGACGAAGGGCTGGGCGGCTACGTGGGAACTCTGATCGTTCCTGACCCCGGAGACTATGTTCTAAAGGTCGCCCTGCACTGGGTCCATGGAACGGCGGACCTTTACCAGGTTAGAGAACTTATTTCTCACTGGTTAAATTATATTTTTTGCTGGCAGAAGGCAAGAGATTCGACTTTTATGGAACTCACTGGGCCTTTCAATACGTGCACAGCGTTGTTGTGGCTCCGACAAAGAAGCCTGTAAAGGCAAGACTCCCAATCGAAAACAGAATGTTTTGATATCATATCATTAGTGCTTCCTTCCAGTTGTAATTCTCCTAAGTGGAATACTGTGCCTCGTAGACCTCATACGAATCAAATGTTCAAACTGCCGAGTCTTGTTTGCCTCTTGTCTTCGGAGAAAATACTGCTTTCCGTGGTACTTGTTCCGAGTCGAGATTGAAAGTTTCCGAAGACCTTTTCTCGCTTATAAGGAACGAGTGGAAGCTTTTGATTCCAGACATTTCAGGAGGAGCTCTTGAACATCTTTCTTAGTCAGATGGAAGAAAGGTGATTAGCTAGTACTTTCGTAGCCTTGCCGACTCGCGCTCGTAAGCGTCTCAAACGGACACGTTACGTGCAGAGATCAGAGCAAAAACGCAACGAGCGAGTTTTTTCAGAACTGATGGACAAACTCTTGGTTCGCAGGAGCCGTTTCCCGAGTCCGTTTCCAGCCACATGCAACACATGTACAGCCAGTGTGAAGACGCCCGCAGCCTGGTGCACGGGTCGCCAATGACCGTCCGATCTCGGTGTGAAAACCCCGAGACGACATCCTCATACGATGTGACGTCATGCCAGCAGCTGGACCTGGCACTCTCCCCCAAGATCGCAACGGAAGCGACCTTGCAGGCCGGAACGGAACCGGCGGAAAGTTTGAGACAAGAACAATCGGCGTCAGTTTGGCAGCCCCGGTGTGTTGAGGGCGACAAGCCAGGCCGTTGGCTAAATCTGCCAGTCGCCGAGAATTGCCGCCCGCCGTTCTGCTCGGGGAACCGCTCGGCTACGAACGTGGTTAAGGAGTGGAACGGGAATGACATACCCTGGGTTTACGCGCCGTTCGGGTGTCAGTACCACATGTTTTCGCTGGGGGATATAACCACCTGTGCTGGAGAAACGGGTAAGATTTGTAGCCTCCTTTCTGGCCAAGAGGTGTCAAGGGTTTGGTCCGACAAGCAAGCGGACGCACAGCGGAACGCACCGCGGAACAGGAACAGAGAAGCTTTGTAGAAGCGGCGGCCTCCGAGATTTGATGCATTGAGGCGGCTGGCTGTGAAAGGTTCTGATTGCCATAATGCTGCGCCCTTAGATTCCAATGATGACCAGAGCGTTTTAAACACCTTGTGAGACGGAGTCACGAGGCGTCGCTATGGAACCGTTCAATATCAGAGCTGTCGCAGAATCAAAACAGCCTCCTCTTCGCCGTTTCCAAGTAGCAAATGAATCTTTCTCTTTCATTTCGACAGAGACATCAGATGCTTCACAGATAGATATGAAAACGAAATGGATGACCATCATCTTGCAGGAAAGATCTCGACTCGCCAAAGGCACAAAGAGAATCCAGTCTGAGTAACTCTCTGCCTTATAATAACTCTGAAGGCGGTCCGGGAACACTCCTTGCAACTTCAATCTGTTTTGAGCATTCGAATATGAGCGAGGCCAACGAGTTTCATCCTCGTGGAAGACTAACTGGTTCCTCGAACTCTAGCCTTCTTCAAATTTATACACTCCTTCCTTTCAGGCGTCAAATGGGTCCATGTAGTAGGCGACTCTACAGTGCGCGAAATCCCGTCGACGCTTTTCTCGATGGACCCCGAAATGGAGCCCATGCAAGGGCGGCGCTTCGAGTACGCTGACAAGCGCATCGGCGCGTCGCTCGTCGCGAACCAAAACCTCAAAACCCTGTCGCTTGTGCGGCGCCGCGGCCGCGCGCTGCTGGGGTCGCGCGACAAGCCGGCGCGCGCGTCCGAAGCGCGCGCGCTGGGTTATGAACGGTTAGCGAAAAGGGGAGCCCCCGATCAAAAGAACGCGTCCGCTCGAAAGAAGGCTCCGGAGACGGACGGAATGAGGCCGGAAAGGAACGGGAGCGGGCGGAACGAGGTGGGCGGAAGGCCAGGGACCGGCTCGGAGCCCCGAGGGCTTTCGCCTCTCCGGGTCACCTTCCAGTTCTTTGACCAGATGTACCCGATGGAGACCGGTGCGCACCGGGACTTTGAGGGTATGGACCGACCGCTGCTGGACCAGTTCAACGTCACGTGCCCCGCGGACGCGGCCGCGTGCCCTGACGTCATCATCTTGAGCCCTGCGATGGCATACTCGTTGTGGAAGCAGAACGGGAGCGATTTTGAGGTGGGTTGACTATGTCTTCTAACAGTGTTTGGTCGTCCATACTTTTCGGATCTTCGTCCGAGGGGAATACGTTTGTGTAGAAGAACGACAGTGACTCGACCACGCTTGCGCTCCATACGACGTTGCGAACATTGGTGTTCCCGGATACTTCGACACCGTGCTCGTTCTTCCCTTCAGAACGATGCATCGAAGCTCCTCACAGAGAGCAGAACAGCTGTCAAATCCTTCTGGCTATCATTTTATGTAAGCCTTGTCGTTTGGTACATGATTCAGAGCGGCTTCGTTTTCTGTTCTCGTCAAGATGAAGGTCCGGAACTCTACCTCCTTGAAAATTCGATGCGACTTGGCTTCATCAAGAAGTCGGCGATATGAAGAATGCATCTTAAACACTTGTATTCCGCGGGCAGAGTCTGACGTTGACTTTTGCGCGAGTCCAATCTGCTCCATGATCTCTAGAATGTGCGGAAGGCCGAGTGAAGTTCGACATTGAACCGCAGGCAAACACTTCTTGCGAAAAGAAGGAAAGCCTTGATGTCAACACTTCTTTACTTCTTAGTTGTCGAGCTTTGCTTCTCCTTTTCTCTTTCTTACTTCTTCTCGCAAGATGCTTGATCTCAGCATAGGCTTCTGAAAAGCGTCCCAACCGCTGATAGCAAATTGACTCAACTCTGATGGCATTCTCCTTCCAATGAACAGACCTGGGTGACGGACTTTGCGGCGTACATCGCGGCCGCGCTCGCGGCCCCGCGCGGTTCGCGGCGCGCGCCCCTGCGCGCGATCTGGTACCGGTCGCCGTTCATGTTCTCCCAAGCCCACGAACGCAGCTCGCCTTATATAAGCCTCCCCCGGTTATTGCGCTTCGACGAGGCTGCCACGCGCGTGTTGAGGAAGATAGGCGTTGGGGTTTTCGATGCGATGACGCCGACCAGAACTAGACCGGGCACGTGCTACGACGGATTGCATTACCTTATGGCGACGGCTGATGGGCACATGGGCCATACGAGCAACATGCTTATGCAGATGCTGCTTAACACGATCTTCGACAAGTGCACGCAAGTAGACCCGGCGTAGAGTCGTGACTTGGTATGAGAGGTCTGTAAAAAAGCGCGCACTCGAGAGTCGACCTGAGAACATGGATGAGTGATTGTGGGACCACAATCCCGAGTTGGACTACAAGCTAAAACCCCTCTGAGAATCAGCTTATAGCCGTTGATACCTATATGACAGCGCAGCACTAAAGAAGTTGCCGCATCATCGTCTTTGCAGTAGTCTTCCTGGAATTGCACTGCTTGATTGGTTGAAGCACGCCACGCAAGTTGGCGACTCTTGGCAATTGGGTCATTATGACTTTCTTCGTGCCGTACGGTATTCCCAGCTGGGCCGCGCGGCCGCGCCGTCCCAAAGAACGGTTAGTCTTGGCTCGGGGCGCTGAGCGCGCCCTTTCAAAATCCATTACAGGTACATTCAGGCCGCCCTTAGCACTTCGAAGGCGTATGTACCAATTTCGGTCTGGGTTCCTCTGTTCCTGCATTAGAGCACGAGAGACGTGTAACATTTTTTCCGACAGGCCCGCACCGTCTCCATCTGCCATGGTCTGTCGGATGTCCGATTGTCAGCCTGGCGCAATGCCATGATCATATTAAGCAAGATCTGGCTAGAAGAGCCAGATGCATACCGTAATCATGTGCTAATCATGTGCTAACCGCACGCGGTGACCGTACGGCCACGATCATAGTGATTGCCGGGGTCGCTGTCTACACGCTGGCAAAGCACTCAATTAACAGACTTGTTTTATGTCATCAAATTTTCGGACGAACGTCGGACATGTATAGCTACTAAGCGCACATGCAACGGCACCATAGCATGTAATCAAAGTGGCGGATTTTAAGGCATGTCGCATACTGAGTGGGACCAATAAGAGATAACACAAATCTCAAACTTGAGTACGCGTCAGGCCCGGGGTGAACACAAATCGCGGTCACGTGTATCAGAACAAGGAGACTGCATATTGATCGCGCTAATTACAATTTTCACAAGCTCGCGACCACTGAGGTCGCGGCCGGAGTGACGGTCACTTTCAATGGGCCGCCCGCGGGCTTGCATGGCGTAAATCATGCAAGCGCTGGCCGCCATGCAATTGATCGAGCAAGCGAAGCTGAATTTAATTAGCTAGATGTGAGTGTTCCTGAAGTACCAATGGATCGACGTTATCATAGTATGACTCTGCTGATACACGTACAGATTTGACATATATCAGATTTGGATGCATGTAGCAATTACACTGACATTGCACTCGACGTACCGGCAACCGTTGAACGCTAGCTCAGGTTCAAAAGAATGCATGCCAGCAAACGTTATAACGTACTGTGGCCGGTCTCGAGCTTAGCAACAAGCTGGCATACATCATGCACAGTGCAATGATGCCATGCCCGGGCCCGCGGAGCAAGGCTCAACAGAGCTGCTTAACGAGTCCCTTCAAACCTTTGAGCTAGTCTTTTCAGGCCACGGGTTTACAATGGTGTGCAAAGTGTCTAATAACGGCACTACCTGGTAGTGCCACTCAAACCGCATTCCACTGGAATGGCATAATGGGGGATGGAGCCTTATTTCAACTCGGATCAATGCCACAATGTAACCTCTTCCAGTCCCGCAATACTTGTTCTCTTAATCAATAATTGTCTCCTGAACTACCGTGCGAACGTACCAATTCAGTAGTGACCGCTGAAAGACTCAAAAGTTATAGAAGAGCGGATGCGATGACGACGACCCTGGACCGTTTGTGGTACTATAAATACTAACTCGCAATATATAAGAGCGGATGCGACGACAACGACGCTGGACCGTCTGTGGTTCTATAAATACTCGCAAGATGTTCATATGTCATATCTCTCGGCCGTTTCTAGGCCAATCGGGCACTCTCGATAGCAGCTACAACCAAAGTTTACCCCACGGAGGGCTTACGAAATAAGGAATGGTAGCGGGGTTCCAGTAACCCGGCAAACCTGACCGTAAAACATCTAGCGTTCTGGAGATTGCTACCAGCATTCAATGCCTCAAATCAAAGCTCAAGAACGAAACTCGCCGAAGCACTTGTTCTCTCTGCCCAGAGCCGGAAGCTAGGGAGAAGCTCAAACGAATCACCTTCCAAAGATGATAACTGCCCAGAGCCGGATCGCTCGGGAGAAGCTCAAACGAATCACCTTCCAAAGATGATAACTTATTCAAAGGAAACCTGTGCTGTAACGCTAGCTTGACTCGCCGCTGTTGCGTGTCCGTTACGCTCCCTGGTAACGCCCCGAGGCGCAGGTGGCGTGGCCGTTGTCAAACTGACCGCACCCCTGGCCGTCGCAGCAGATGAAGCCGGAACCATCCGGGCCGTAGCACTGCGGCGACAAAGAAAGCGGTTTAGTCACAGGCAGCGATCATGGAGTGATAGTCCGAATGACTCGACCATGGAATAAGGCACCTATCTTAGACTCGCTCGGCCTTTCCCAGGCCCCGTATAAGTAGGCAGTGCGCCTGACACACAAGTTTCTTCACAGAGACGTAGGTAGTACGCTCTTAGTAGTGAGAAATTTCGTCAAGATCCGACGATCGAGGGAGGCAATGATAGGGAGGAGGACGCGTGGCATAAAAAATGGCCCAAAAGCCAGTAGACCGGAACGGAACAAAGAAACCTGAAGGAGCAGGGGCCGGAACGGCAAAGTTGAACGAGGAAAAACAGGTAGGAGGCGGTTCCCGTTGCACTAACCTGGTTGGGGAAGGGGCTCTGGAAGTCGCAGAGTCCGCCCGCTGCAAGGACGGAACGACCCAGCGGAATCAGTGTCAGTGTGTGGGCTCTTGAGCTTGAGCAGTCAAGATAGGTCACACAAAACAGTCCACCGACAGCCTAATCTGGTACGCCTTTCCTCTGTAGGCTGCCAAACCGATCCCGCAAACCCGTTTTCCATCTGAAGTGTTTATCGCTAGCAGCTCGAAGCTCCACTTTCATGTAGAAAGATATGTGCACTACCTGGACACAATTCCGGGAAAACGTCCGTTAACCATTCAAGGTTAGGCAAATATCCCAAATGCTAGAGCCACTGACCTGCGCTCGGGTTGGGAACGCCTCCTGGTGCCGGGGTCGGGTTAGCCGGGGCGGGTGTCGGGTTAACCGGTGCAGGAGTCGGGTTAACGGGTGCCGGGGTCGGGTTTGCGGTCGGGGAAGGGGTTACTGGGGTTGGGTTAGTGGGAGCCGGAGTGGGGTTAGAGACCGGGGAACCAGGGTACCGGTTGCTGGCACACGTGGCACTAGAGCCGGAGGCGCCGCCGCAGCCGCTAGTGTCACAGCAGACGAAGGAATCACCGCCGGGGGAGTAGCACTGCAAAAAGTGGTTAACAAGGGTTAGCGACCCGGTCAAGGCGTGTACTGCGAAGAGGTTTCCTTGCATGCATATGCTGCGGAATCTTCTTCCGGAGCCCACGTATGGAAAGGGGCTTAGCACTGGCGAGCAGAAGAGGCTAGTTTTTACCGGTCAGATATTGAATTAGCATACAATTGTATACGACACAGGCTGTCGTGACTTGGAACAAAACTGCATCTTGTAGAACGGGTCTGCAGCCTGCAATCTGGAAGCAGATAAACAGTCGTGCCGTTGTTTAACCCAGGAACTCTAACCCACCTGGTTAGGGAAGCCCGGCACTCCGCCACAGGTGCCACCTGCACACACAACGTAGCAGGTTACGTCAGCTCCTCCAAGCAAGACAATCAATGGTGACGTCAGCTCTCGAAAGCAAGGGGATAATCACAGCTGTCAAGTAGACTTCAGTGCAGAGCTTCACAGCTGTGTTTTTATTGCCGCCTTACGAGTCCATAAGCACGGTTGGAACCGTAAGAACAGCAAATTCGGTTAGTCGGCCTCTTCGACCGAGGCGCTGCTTGCAAGATCAGGGGCTTAACGTCGAGCATGGCATTATAATCAAGAGCTAGTCCTTAACCTAGCTTCGGCTTTCCAATATCCATGAGTACGATGCGAATCGCAAACAAGACATTGCAGACGTGAGACTGAAAGGTTTTTTTTGCAGAAGCAAAACAGGTCCGCCTGCCGTCTTTGACCCTCAACAACTCACCCCTTCGGTACCGCTGAATAGACAGGGCAACTTTCGGATTGATTACGAGTACGTGACTATGTGCTGACGCCACACAGCTTGTGACTGTTGGGCGACTAACCCCCTACTAACCCCCGTTGAAATCGGGAAAAACAGCAGGCGTCAAAGTATCCTTTTATAGCTCTCCGTTTGAACGGGAACTTCAGAGTTAACCCGAAATGAGTTGTGGGGTTAGCGAACATACCCGCTGGGGAAGGGGCAGGGACGCCGCCAGGTGGCGCGGATGCTGCATAAGGAAAAGACGTAACATCTTATTTCCAAAGATCATTCTCAATTGATATGCGCACAGGGATTTGAAGCCCAGTATCTCTTTCGCCGCTCTCTGCATCAAGACCGGGTGTCAGCACGAGCCTGCCGCTGATCGTTTTGCTTCCTAGCTTCTGATGCGACGAAGTAATCTCGTAAAAAATGCACTGTACATCTAGACTGGAACGAAATAGTTGTGGCAAGGAAACGCGGAAGCGTGAAGCCAATGAAGGTGGCGCATTTGAGCTGTTAAAGTAGACTTACTGGGTGATGACGTGGCAGTCGGGGTAGTAGTCGGACCTGCTGTCGGGGCGGGCGTGGCAGAAGAGCCGGTGAGGCTCAGAACGACGTTCCTTTGCACTGCAAAAAGCGGAGAGAAAACTCTCAGTCACTAAAACTGCATCTGAGACGCGTTTCTGGTGTGGGTGTCTGCGAACAACATCTAAGACACGTTTTTGGTATGGCGTGCACGCAGAAACTCCTCAGCAATGAAGTCCATTCTGCGCTCAAGACCAAGTCAGTGGCAGTCTGCCATCCCTCTACTCCGGAGCTTTTGGTGGCGACCTTCTAGCCTTTGCCTTACCGCTAGAAGGTCGCCACCAAAAGCTCCCAAGTAAAGTGTTCCTGCTGTTGCGGGGCATAGGTCCGCCTCCAAGCGTAGAGCCGGCGACGAATTACCTTCCTCTGATAAGAGCTCTTCCGTGGCGAGCATTTTGTGGAACACAGCCAGACTATCGCCGCGATTTTGAAACGTCACCGCCGTACTCACAATGTAGAGCTACTACCCGTTAGATCTGACGGTCCACCTTTTAGTGGCGACCACTCAGCGCAGAACCAACCCCGGAATGTCGCTGCAAAATATGCAAAACCGGCTTCGACTTACCTCCCGGGGTCTCTGGGACGGTGAACGTCTTGGTCGTTGTGACGCCGCCAACGGTGATCCTCGCTTCGAAGTTGCCAAAGAAGGCGTTGAAAGTGGGGAGCCGGCCGCTGCCGTCCGTCGTGCCGGTTCTGGGCGGCGTAGTGAACTCGTTCTTGAGAGCCTGCGCACACGAGATTTTCAGCCTTAACCAACTTTCAAAAGCCTGCATCATCAAGCCCATCTACCGCAGACTCCCACCTGTCGTAGCTCAAAGCCTTCGACTAAGACTCGAACATTCCTTTTTCGTTTCGAGTCACTCTCCAGAAACTTCGACTAACATTGATTGTCCGGCACTTGGTAAGAATCTGAGACGGCTTTCACTTGGTAAGGTCTGAGACGGCTTTGTGGATTTGTTTCTAAGAGCCTACAGGAACGTCTCCGAACAAAGAACGAAGGGCGAAGAACAGTCGCGCCCCATAGCAAATATAAGTACGACAAGCAAAGGGAGCCAAAACCAAATGGACGCGTGGCACTGACCCCGGTTGCGGTCGTACTCCAATTCTCAACTCGTAGTTGCGAGTATCCAAAAGAGAGACAGGACGACGGTCGCCAGTCCAAACCAAGCCGAATCAAGGAGATTTGCGAGAAGCTTACCTGCACTCTCTGACCGGCGGCATTCAGGGTAAAGTCCAGGTTGACCAGGCACGCGTTGCACTGGCCGCCGTTGCGGTCATACTCCGACTGCGGCTGGTAGTTGTACCAGAAGAGGAAACCCTTGACTGCGGGATGCGCGAAGCACTCGCGGAAGATGAACTCGAGATAGTCGGCGCGTTTGTTGACGTCCAGAATGTTGACGTTCACTTCGGACATCCAGATGGGGATGCCGGCGCTCGCGACCTTGTCGAGGCGCGCGCGCAGCTGGAGGGGCTCGACTCCCAGGAATTGGCCCTGCAATCAAGACTGTTTCCTTTCAAGATCTCAGACTTTCAAAAGAGGCAAGCAGTACTGATACCGGAGCTGGCAATTCTGTCGAGGCGCTGACGCGATTGGAGGGACTCCACTCCTAGAAAAGGCGTCTGCAAGTGCTTATGGGGGTATAAGGAGAAGTCGTTTGTATCTGCTTTAGACCCGTTTTTAGAAGCGCGTGCGCAGTAGGACGTTTCGACGTCAGAGGATGCGCGAGACTCGCTGGGACTAACTCTTAGGCCTTGCCGCATCTATTGGGGTCATATCCTCCACCATCAAGTGTTTCGGTCATATCCTACACCAAGGACTCATTTCTTCTAGCAATTGATTTGATGTGCCTGTGAACCCTTTTAAGCCCGTACAAGCAGATCACGGGAAGGCCAGGACGTCAGTCAGCAGCCCACGTGACGTCAATGCGGCTCATTACTGTAGCGTTTATTCGATGGCGGATCTTTCTCCTAGCGTTTGTTTTATATTTCTGTGAGGCTTTTGAGCTCAAGCAAGGACGCACCTGGAACGCCAAGATGTCGATCGGGAGCCCACGTGACGTCAGCGCGTTCAGCTGGTTCAGGTAAAACTCGGGATAGGCAACGGGATCGGAGCACGTCTCCACGTAGTTGTAGTCTGCGAAGGAAAAGGAGAGTGGTTCTTCGAAAGCGACACCTGGATGATCGAGGTTCTCCCAGTTCTTCCGTGTGCTGCAAGAAGGACTCTAGCGAAGGCCACGAGTCATGGAACATGTCTCGAGGTAGTTATGCTCCACGGAACCAAAAGCAAAAAGAAAGTGAAGGGGGGCGACACGTGAATAGATAATCCTCGAGATCAAAACTTGGTGCAGGTGTTGACAGACCAATGGACGTTGACGGAGAAAGTTAAGAGCGGCAACAGTCAATCCGGTACATCTCGTTGCTCAACGCATGCGTCCGGTCCCCTTCGATCAATTCAGAATTGGAGTCAACAAGCAAGAGTAGATTCCACAGTAAGGACAAGGGCAAAATTCTCCTCAGCTTTTGACCTACCGTTGAGGGCATTCTTCACGTTGGGGTCGATCGCCTTCACGGCGGGATACATCCAGTCATCGATCGCGTTTCCAAGCTTGTTCTCGTAGTAACTGCACACGGAGGAGGACGGATCGATGAAAATTGGGGATATCCAGGTCTTGAGATTCTGAATGTAAGGTCAGCTTCCTCTCGAAAACAATCTTCCTAATCAGAATCATAGATGTAGATTTGGCAGTCTCTCCCCAAACAATCTTCCTACTCAGACAGAGTCGTGTCTCAGGTTCTTCTGAAAGGGCCGTCGATTGAGCCCACTTTGTTATGGAAAAGCCTAGCCAGATTAGCTCCTTAATAGGATGATTACCAGCGTCCACCTCAGTACTGTGCCTGTATCGCGGAACGCAACAAGCACATCCTTCTATGGAGTAACAGCCGAGTAACAGCCAACTGTCGTGTCAAATTGGTTGTGTCGGGTTCGTTGTTCCTGAGAAAGACTCACCCGCCCTTGAACTGCTCGTTGTTGACGTCCCAGTGAATGACCTGCAACCAACATAAACTCAGGTTGTAAGCTTTCAGAACTATGGATTTTTATTGCTATTCCAAGATTCGCTGGGGAGTACAAGTATGCAATTAACCAGAGAAGCGACCTTTCCAAAGCACAGGTTCGGGTCTGGCAACTGTCAAGAGCATGCGACTCAAGCAAGGGAGGATTTTGACTACAACCTTTAATGTCTCTGCTCAATCTCGTTTTGCGCCTCCACAGATCTCTAGAGGCAATTCCGTAATCAGTGCAAACGACAAGGCGCTTGAAACGGAAAGATGCATTGCCAAAGCTACTATGGATCGGACCAGCCCTCCTATCAACTAAAAAGGTTGCTTGATGTATTTTAGGCCCACTCTTTCTTGGGGACGACTGACCCGCAGCTAGCGCCCCCTTTGTTTCCGTGATTACGTGCCTCAGTCGAAATTCGACATTGATCCAACCTTCGCCGTTCCCTGGTTTGGCCCCCTCTTACCAAGAACCAAGTTTCCGACTTTGTTTGATGCCCATTGAACTAACATGGTTAAGGGCGAAATGTTGCTGTGACTATCGTTAGAACTTACCCGTCCCTTGTAGTGCGACACGATACTTTGGAGCCGCGCCACCATCGCCTTGTAGAGGTCGCTGTTGGGAATGCCTCCAGCGGTGCTTAGAGCGGCGACCCAAGGCTGCGCAAGGAACGCACTTTTTTGAGGAGAAGGCCTGGCGTCCTTACTTACTTCACGGATCTTTTCTTTGTGTTTATGAACTCTCAGATTAACAGTCTGTTCCGGGGGTTTGCCCCCGGCGGCGCTCAGGGCGGCCACCCAAGGCTGTAAAAAGCGCGCAAATGCTCAGGTTAGGAATTTCCTCTTTTGTATGTTGCAGATTCTTGGAAGCCGTAGGGTTTCTGAGTACGAGAAAGCCCCCGGCAGTGATCAGAGGGACAACCGAGAGCTGCACACATCGCGCAAAATTGTAGCCGTTCATGGTTTTTAGAAGGATTGGGCTTTCGGGGTTTGAGAATAGTTTAGGGCTGTAGCAATACAGGTCGCTCAGGGATCTGCCAAAAGCTGGTCCCAGATTGACAGTCAGAGGGTGCCAAGTGCACGCGGATTCACACGTTTACTATTTGAGGTGGCAGCTGATCCTCCTATGCGTCTCGCTTCCAGAAGCTAAGAAATCCTGCAACGGGCTTGCAGGAATTTCAGCTGTTGCTAGCCAAACGTAGACTGCTCTGGCTTGTGAAGACCGCCGAGCAAACCACTCGGAAACCCTAAACGCACCAAACTAGAGCGGTGAGCCCACCGAAAATACGTTCGGGACGTCTCAGAAGACTATGTGCAAGGGCAAGCTTGTTTGCCAAGCGTTGCTTAACTATTTTTGCTGAGCGTTGCTCAACTATCTCTTCACCAATGTTGTTGCACAACATCCTTTGGGACATCCCGAGCGTAATCCAGGTGGGCTCCCAGCTCTAGTTTCAAGGCGTCAAGAATCAATCGTTGAGCGCTTCTTGAACTTTCTAGACCGATTCTAATCAGCAATTGGACGTCTTGAGAGCACGAACTAGAGCGGGGAGCCCACCTGGATAAGGCTCGGGATGTCCCAGAAGATGTTGCGCAACAAAATTGGTGTAGACATAGTTAAGCAACGCTTAGCAATCAACTTAAAAGTCCTGAAAGCACCAACTAGAGCGGGGCATTTCACCTGGATCACGCTCGGGATGTCCCAGAAGATGTTGTGGCCACGCACGGGAATTCCGTTCTGGTCGCAAAACTCGAGCATCGCGTCGGGAACGCTGTAGTCGAACGTGGGGCCGTTGGGGTCCGTGAAGTACCACTTCATCTCGTTCTCAAACACTGCAAGCCGAAAACGACGGGTTTAGAGACGGGAATGGACATAGAAGCAGAAATGATTGACCGGAAAGGAGAGTCGGTGATGAAGCAAACCGTGTAAACAACACTTGGTCTCATTTGCGAAGACTACAGGCCAGAGTGCCCGTTTGAGAACATCAATGGCAAAAGGAATGGAGTTTAAGAACCGGACAAAGCACCAACAAAGCAATCTGTGTCCCTGTCGAAGGCTTCAGGATAAAGCCAACTGGATATTTTGACGGTCTGACAACCAGTTCCGCTTGGAAAAGTGGAAGGATGGAGAGCAGAATACGAAAAAAAAATCTAGACAAGCTGCGGAGTTTCTGAGACGGCCACATTGACTACACTCTCGTAACAGCAGTTACAAAGAGATCTGTTTTTCGCTGCAAAGGAGCAAAACTCCCTTTACGTACTCACCAGCTGTGTTGAAGAGTGACTTGAAGTAGTTCGCATAAGCCGGGGACGTCAGAACGAGTTGCTGAAGCGATCCTCCGAACGGGAAGGACGTCCGGGTCTGAGTGAGTTGGACGGTGGCGCCGGACACGGGGTTGTTGCTGGCGTCAACGACCTGGACGCTGACGTCAGTCTTCCGGATCTGCAAAAGGAAGGGACGTCGAGTCGTAATCGACGAGCAAGGGGTGTGGGGCGAGTAGTAATCTGCATCGGGCGGGGGCAACTAGGGGTGTCGGATGCTCACTTTGGTCTGTTTGGATGCAACAGAAAGAAGAGAAGTTTGAGTCGTAGGGAAAGTGGAGCAGAACCCAACGATTCTGGGCGTCAGCAAGATGTAAGCAGATTGATTGAATCACGGGTTTGGTTAACGACATTCACCGCAACAGTGCGAACAGCCAGATTGATTTCAAATCCTCTGGCACCTAGATGATGGACACAGGATGCAAGCAATCTTGCTAGCACTGAGTGACTGAGGTCTGTTAACCAGGATGGTTAGCAATCCTGGGTAACCACTTGACGCGGCAGTCCAGGCAACCAGATCGTTGAAATACTGGTTCTTGGGCACCGAGGAAATGGACACGGCGTGTACCCAGGCGCGAGTATCGAAGAATGGGTTACATTCTTGGTTAGCTACTCACCGCAGCAGTGCGGGCAGCCAAATCGTTGAGGTACAGGTTCTTGGGCACGGAAATGATGGAGACGGCTTACACCCGTAACGAAGGTTCGTTGACCGATATCCGGGCTATCTTGACCAGTTCGGTCAGCAACTTAACGCAGCAGTGCGGGCTGCTAAATCGTTAAGGTACAGGTTCTTGGGCACCGAGATAATGGAGACGGCGTGCAGCCCAAGCTTTACACCCGTAACAAAGGTTCGTTAACCAATACCCGGGCTATGTTAACCAGTCGATTAGCAACTTACCGCAGCAGTGCGGGCAGCCAAATCGTTGAGGTACAGGTTCTTGGGCACGGAAATGATGGAGACGGCGTGCAGCCAAAGGTCCTGGTTGGTGATGCCTTGCAGGCGGACGTCGACTCTGTTGGGAACCGCTTGGATCTGGTAACCGGCGGAGAGAAGGGACCAGCATCCGACCTTGGCAACCAGAACCGCACCTGTGAAATGATACTTTCTCTTGTCAGATTCTAGATTATGGAGGTTCTGAAGTTTTGGGCTCAAAAGTGGACGTCGACTTTGTTGAGCACGGCTTGAACGTGATGAACCGGCGGAAAGAACCAACCTAGCAACTACGCTTCGTAGCTAGGACGGCACCTGCAAGCAAGAAGTTCGATGTTCTAAAGTTGAGGATGTGAATCGGAGAGTATCAGGTTCAAGACTGACGCCGACTCTCTAGAAACCGGCTTAGACTTCGCAACCAAGGGAGTGCAGGGGTCGGCAGCCGACCTTGTCGACTAGAACGGCACCTGTTGCAACCAGAATGGCACGTGCAAGGAACACGTTCTTGAGATGAAGATTTTCAATTTGAGAGCTTTGAAATTGCAGGACTGCATTGCTGTTGCAAAGTAATTGGAGCGCAAGCACCACCAACGGCAGAAGGAACAGTCACCGAGCAGGAATCAAGTGGGTCTTACCTGCACACACGTAGTCGCCGTTGATCACGAAGTTGAGGTCCATCTTGAACTCGGAGTTGGCGCCGGGGCCTAGTCGCACCCAGAACAGCACCTGCTGCTGCGAACCGACGGGGACGGAACTGCCCGGGAGTGTGAACGAGAAGGCCTTGAAATTGGCGTTGATGTTCGTCAGGCGCACGTACGGAGTGCCATCGCTGCAAAAAACAAGGCCCAAAACTTTCAACTGGAGAAACATACAAACGAGAAGAGAAGTGAAGTAGTTGGAAGTCTATCGCAATGCGAAGCGCCCGGCAGAGTGCAAAAAAAGAAGGCCTTGAAGTTGGCGTTGATGTTCGTCAGGCGCACGTACGGAGGGCCGTCGCTGCACAAAACAAGGCCCGAAAGTTTGGGGATATTCCATGATTCTGTTCCTGCACGCGACCTTCCTGGGTGGACTGCTTGATTGCCCGGGAGGGTGAGTGAGGAGGCCTTGTCGTTATGTTTGATGTTCGTCGGGCGGACATACGGAGGGCCGTCGCTGCAAGAAACAAGGCCCCCCCAAAAAAGGCCGTCCCCCGGAATTGGATTCCAACGACGGACCGGATAAGTGCCCAGGAGAATGAATGATATTGGATGACAAGGTCTCGAAGTTGGCTTTCGTGTTTGTGCTTAAGGCTAATGAACGGAGTACCGTCGCTGCAGAACACAAAATCCCAAATAAAGTTCTGCGGTGTTCGTTCGGAGATCAGTGTTTACGACGGGCAACAGCAAAGTGGCCACGAAAGAATGAAAGGTGTCCGACCTTTTAAGGGAGCCGCACACCTCGGTGAAGAACGTTTGGTCGGAGTCAAATCTCTGTCAACTCCCATATAAGCAAAGACGGAAAAGACGTGCCGACGACCGGGGATGATACCCGCCCACCTCGTCCACTGTTTTTGTCGATTGACACATTTATGCGGATACTAAACGAGCACCGGGACGTCCCAACGACCGGGGGGGTCATCCGCCCACCTCATCTGCTGCTACACTTACCGGCTGTAAATTCTTAACCATTCGACTTCGCACTTCTGCGGTTACCCGAAAAAAACGTTTCGACGACCAGAAGGGAATCGCCCACCTCGTCTCCTTATGAAACGACAGCTTTGGTATTCTGCTGATACCACAACAGCGACGAAAAAAGGAAATCGGGCGACTGCCCACCTCGTCTGTTGGAATGACAGGTCGCCATCGCAGTCGGGGAAGCAGTGCCAGTCGCCCGGAACCCCGCCGTTGGGAACGCCGGTAACTAGGTTGTTGTAGCCTGGGAGGGGGCCGGAGTTCACCAGGTTCGAGCACCACTGTCAAAGCAGAAGCGGAACGTGTGAGCTCGAAGTTTCGGGTTCCAAACCTGACACATATTCGTAATTCAGCGAGTAACTGGCGGAAGGGAAGAGGTCAGAAAACTGCGGTCGATTGATTGGTAGGGGGACAATTACAGAGGCTAAGGAGGAAGGTAATAGCAGGGGGTCCCGAATGTTAAGTTTGGAGGCAGCGGAAAGTCTTCTGCACTCGCAGTTTACTGCAGTTTCCAACTAAAAGAAAGACGCAGGAATTATCCTGGGGTAGAGACACACGCTCGTCCGATGCGTCGTAACGGCGATCGAAGCGGTTGAACATTTGGTCAAGTAGTCAGAGCTGCCCACGGCTGACGGAATCAAACGGATCGGTACGAAGACGGCTGGAGGACGGCTGATTTGAGTTTCTCCGTACTTCTAGCACCCAGCGACCTTGCCGTTTGATTGTTTGCGCATCCCAATTAGACGTTCAAGGACTCTGTTCTCTGGCCTGATCTTTGCTGGTTACATGCCTCCACTTCATTCAAACAGTGCTACTAATGGTTTCAGTAACCCTGAGACTGCTCCGCTCAGACGACTGAAGGCGAGAGGGCTTCGAATGGCCCAAAAAAGCTGGGGGCTGTTCTCACCGAGCTCTGGACGGGGTCGAAGTTGGGGTTGAATGCAGCTGCAAGGGCGAACACGAGAGATGTGAATAAACGCGAGCATGTGCAATCAATGAGCATGTTTCCAGAGAGTCTCGAGTCGGACGTTAGGCACTCACCCGAGTTGATGGAAACCTTAAGAGGATCACTTGAAGCCCTCACGCTTTGGGTCCCAATATTTCGCCATTGCGGAGGCAGTGTAATCGGGGGCTAGAAAGCAAGCGCGGGTGTCCCACTTTTCCGTTTCAGATGCACACGTGGCGGCTCCTAAGATCTTGATTTTCCTTTCACAAACGTGGACTGGGATACGACACCTCAAGTCACGCGGAATAACCACTGGAGTCCGAAACGGACAGCGTGAAATGCCGGGTGCTTGGATGTGTCCAGACCAAACACGTGGAGATGAATTTCTCAACTGCCAGCTTTGCAATCCTTGAAAGTTTTCAGAAGCTTAGATTTGCCGAAGCCTCCTTTGCCGTAACTAGGTTCACGTGATAGTGCATAAACAAAGGGAAGCAGCCAGCAATTGCAACCACGTCAACGAAGCCTTGAAGATACACGTGTCCAGAACCGAGCACTTACCAAGCGGCTGCTGGTGTAAGACCGGGTCGGCTTAGCTAAAGCCTTAGAACCCTAAACCCTAAAATCCTAAAAACCTAATGTCAAAGGGGTTTTGCCAAGTCACTTTCAGAGGCCAACGTGAGGTTGAAGGAGTGCCAGTGTACGACACAATGGAACCGAACGATATAGCTCTCCTTGAAATGTTTATACTGAAGTAAGTAGGAAGAACAAGCGTTTGCAGAAATCCAAGCACTTAGAGATACTTCGATTTCATGACGTACGGGTAAGCGCCATGAAGGGTAACATCAATACTTCACCAAAAACCTAAACATGCTCCGCACTCGTACCCTAACCCCCTAAGCAACCCGTCACTGTTAACCTTCAAGGCTCTTAACCTTCATAAATGCCACCAGGATTACTTACGGGGTGTCGCCGGAGTAGCCGGTGGCGGGTTAGACGTTCCAGGGGACCCGCTAGGGTACCTCCCGGAGGCACACGTGGCAGCAGCGCCGTTGGACAGCCCGCACGACTGGGTGTCGCAGCACACGAACGTGGTGCCCGCATCTCCGAAGCACTGAAGAAAAGGGGCGAAAAAGGTGTTGGCCGTGCCAAAATCTGAAATTTCCAGGTCACGAATGTCAATGAGTGAGCCTTACGTTTGTGTGAAGAGGGAAGGGGTTAAATGCAGAGGAGAGGGGAGCATGACACCCGATTCGTTAAATGGGCTGAAGTTGAGACACATCACGAGTCAGATTGATAAAAGCACGGGATCATCTGAGACGGGTCCGTATGCCCACACAACGGCACCAAAGGAGGTGTTGTTTACGACAAACCTGATTGGGGAATTCGGGGTTGGCAGAGCAGTCACCCTGGGCATCTGCAAGCAAGAAATGAAACGAACAGGCTTAGTGTATAGAGCGGTTGCTCAATTGTCGGAACCGTGTGCGCCTGAACAAAGATAACCCTCTTTGTGCGGTTGAGGAACGCAGTATCCGAACCATGTGCGCCTGAACAAAGACAACCCTCTTTGTGCGGTCAAGGACCGCAGCATTTCCTACTCTGACACAGAGGTCCACATACGATGCAGATTTCTTGTGGACTTCTAAAGCCAATATAAGGTACGAAACTAATTTATCCCCTGCGTCCCAGCTCAGAAAGTGTGGGGACCGAGAATTGTTCGGCAAGAAAGCTCGAGTTGGGTGGTTCCACCCACCAAAAGTAACCCGTTCATATGATTGCCTTTAGGACTGAGGGGCTCCCTTTGTCAAACAGTCCAAGTCTGTGATCATCGTCGGACCTTGTAGTTTGAACCGCGGTCGGAGACCTTACAGAAACTTACCCTCCTTGCTAACGCGCAGATGCTTAAAGCCCCTCACGAAACATACAGCCAAACTTTTGCAAGCGGATCTCACTCATAAAAGTAATCTTCCACGATCAATCTGTAAAACTGGGGTTCAGCACCCAAGACAGAAAGCGGAGTCTGGGCGATAAATCGGTCTGACTTACAGGCAAAGCTCGTACTCAGTACCAGTGCAACGAGGGCAAATGCGGAAGCCTTCATGTTGACGCAGGTCGAGGTTGTGCCAGCTGCCTTCTTACCACCTGCACAATTGAGACTACCTGTCAATAATAGTGAATGCCAACCAGTCTGACCATACTAGGACCAAGAAGCAAATTGGAATGCAGATCGTGGGGCCCGATCCTATTATAAGATTAGCACAGCAAATTAAGGTGAGGGAGTCAAGCAAAACCACCATTTTAAATTTCTTTAGGGGCGCCTAGCCTAGGTGCTTGCAAATCATGGTCTTTGAAAAGCATGAGACAAAAAGGCGGTGAGCACAGTGAGCAACTCTCAATCACGCGCAGGACAACCAGACATTGTGAAAGGAACTTGAATGCCTGGGGAGTACATCGAGGCACAGTGGAAAACCCAACCTCCAAGACTGACGTTAGCCTCTGGTATGAATAGAATGCAGAGAGACGCCAAGCACGGCATGGCGGTCTTGCACTCGAAGAAGCATAGGAGACGTCTCAATGCTTTCACAAAAGTGCGCACTTGCTTCATTTGATTGTTTGTGAGGGGAGCTGGAACCATTTTTGATTTAGATTCCTTCAAAACTTGTGGGTTCTGAACTGTAGGCCACGCGTGGAGTCCAATCACATTGACCCACCAGGAAATCCTGAAGTTGAGGGATCCCTCAGGTTGAGAATGTGCATTTCTAACCCTGCTCCACAAAGCTGAGCACAGCACTCTACTGTCCTCTTTTCTTCATTGAGGATCCCTCAAGTTAAGATTGTGAACGTCCAAACCCACCTTCCCAAATCTAGCCTAGGAACTGATATTCCAGCAAGTGACCTCAGGTTAAGGGTCTAAGTCTGGAACCTCATCGCCAAAGCTGAACACATGAGGAGTGCCATAACAATGAGGAATGCCTCAGGTTAAGAACGTGAGTTTCAAGCCCTGCTTGGCTTGCCAGAGGCTCAGCATCGCCCTAACCTCTCAAACTGAACCTCTTCTTCAGCGGACCCTTTGATAGCGAACCCAAGATAAGCAATGCCATGGACGACGCAGACCATAGAGAAAGGGGCGTAAGCTGACCAAAGCCCAGCCTATCCTCTCTTTCCTGGTTTTGAAAGTTTCGGCATCGGGTGAGAGATAAAGAGTGTGTGTGATTGGCTGATGAGTGGCAGGTGTTTTGTGGGATGTCCGTTAAAACCGACTAGATTGAAGGCATGACGGCATCGGGTGAGAGATAAAGGGTGTGTGTGATTGGCTGATGAGTGGCAGGTGTTTTGTGGGATGTCCGTTAAAACCGACTAGATTGAAGGCATGAGTGCAAGGGAGCACATTCAAAAGGTTACACCTTGTAGAGCGAAGATCGGAGAGCAAACAATCTTGTTGAAGACCAATGGAGAGACAGGGTTATGGTGACAGAGCACCGAAGTAGCTTCTCCTTCTTGCAGCGCGTGCCAGTGCTTGGTTCCTCTATCCGTTTGCAGGCAAAGGAAATGACATCTTTATCAGTGCTACCGTCTGCATTTCTGATACTTTCAGTTGAAGCTCGATGAGCCGCCACCACACAGTTGCCTCAATCCATCATTGGTTGTGACAAAAGCACGTTCTAGAATGTGGGGAAGGCTTGAAGTAAAGCTCGCACCTTTTCCACACTTCATGGCAGATTCAGAGATTGCAGGCAGCATCTGTCTGGAAAAAAAATCAGTACTCGATTGCATTACAGGAATGAACCACATTGGAAAAGCGCAAGAGCAAAAATTGTTCTAGATGATTGGAGATACTTGCTAAGGTCAATGCTCTGCACAGATGCTTTGGTCGCAAGAATGCAAAATCTGAAGAGCAATGCTGATGTCCCTATTGAACTGTTGATAGTGGCGCCAGTATGGCGACATCAGAAGAAGCTTCAGATATTGAGGATTGACAATCATTCCAAGAAAACGTTTCCACCGCCGATTCCAAGGACAGGCCGTCAATTACGAGGACATGTGTCTGGCTGCCATCTCAATCAGCTTGTTACATTTGTCTGCCTTCTGACTTTGCCACCTTTTGCTACTGTGTAATGGAAGAACTGCTTGGTTTGAACACTCATTGAAAGACAGCTCAGAAACGAGGCTCGGGGCAGAGGGTTTTCTGAGCACCACTCTTCTCAAAAGTGCTTTGGCATCAACCTTTTCCGAAAGCTCTCACACAGCAATCTCCTTGGTGGTTGAACCATGAGCGTCTATGGCGCCACTCTGAAGACGAGAACTGTTGTTGGGAAATCAATGACCCTTCAATCAACCATCATCAAGAGATGCAAGAGGACACCCAAAAATGGACCCACATGGGTTTGGTTTACAATGCAATGCAATGCTGTCAGAATGCGCGGCGTTTGCAATATTGGATGCCAAATTGGATCTAAGATCACAAAGCACAAGCCCTTGCGGTGGCAATGCAAGCCTGGTCATTGACAAAAGACTAGCCCGCTTCATCTCTTGAAGTAGAAAGGAGTTACGCCTTGCAGCATCTTGTCATCCAAATGAGTTCTTGACACAGAACCATGGAAGAGGGCACAGGGAGAGCACAGGGAGATGACATAGTCCCATTATATCTCGAAAAAGGAGCTCACATTCACTTGCACTCCCTATATTTGTCTGCCCTTTCGGTGTCCTTGTGGGCAAGAAAGATCTGGGCTCCGCAAGTGGCAGTTCGACCCAAATGCGCCCCAGAAAGGAAGACAGCCTTTCTTCAAATGAAACTTTTCAAGCAGCTCATGATATGCCCTATGCAATGTCCTTCTTTTAAAAAATCGGGCGTCCTCATTTGAGATCTGGCAGTCAACTTCAGACCACAAGCAGCAATCATACAATCCAAATGCTGCTTCTACATTCTGAACCCCCGACAGTCGCCAATAACAGAGCGTGAGACACACATCCGCCACACGTAGCTGCCACCAAAATGCTGATGTCATTCACCAGCATTTCGCAGGCGCCTCCCAGCACACCGCTTGAAGGGGCCTGCCACCTTTCCCAGAAAACATAATGCTGATGTTACATGATCCACAGCAAGCCCTCACCTCAAGGGAGGAGCGCCCGCTAGTGCTGCCACCTGTTCCCCTCACTTGCGCAGGGTATGCGCTTCCGCGTAGTTTGCTTGGCGCATCAGCGAGAACAGCGCCCTCTTCTTCTTTTGGGAATGACTAGGGAATGAGACTACCGGTCGTGGACCTCAGCGCTGACCTGCTGAGTCCTGACCTGCTTGTACACGCCGGTTGCTGCCCTTCACTTCCCCTCAAAACAACGTGCAGGGAAAAGCCTGTCACAACTTGAAGGGCGGCTTGCGAAGGGGCTGATGATTGGTGCACGTCGCACGATATGCCGATTGGGTTCCAACGCTACATGCCAAATGGTACCGGGAACGTGTTTCTCGGACCAGTAAGCTTCACACAGTTGATTCTGACGCGATATGTATCAGATGTAAGCGTTTTAACAGTGTCAAGGTGAGTGGAAATTCAGTTCGTGTGCACGTGTACACAACTGCTGGGTACATCACGACATATACATGATGTACCTCAGTGCACAGCGCAGTGTGCACTGTGCCGACTCCAGAGCGAATCTCTCAGTCAAACACTATTCGACAACCAAGAAGCCGCCACGTGTACCGTCGATATCGCTTTTCAGATTCCGGGAAACGAACATTCAACGTACTCAACAGTCAACTGGATTGAGGATGACGTCCTTCCGTACAACCATGTACGATGCAACACTTGCAGACTGCAGTGTGCAGCGTGCACAATGCAACAGTGCAACAGTGCAACTTGCAAGTCGACTGTCGGACTCAGTTGCCAGTGGCCACCGTCTCTTGGCGCGGCCGTACTTGGCGACTGTGCGACAACGTGCGAAAACCTCTTGTTTTCCCTTTCCGGGCGGTCCGAGGATGCCGACCCCCGAGTGCCATTGCGCCTTCCCATCTGTCCTTCCGCGCACCATTCAGCCGGCCTGCATGGATCTAAAACTGGTGACCCGTGGCCGTGGGTCCGTAAAGCGGATACAGCGGATCGCCAGTTTCTACCGGTAAGCATTTTTTGCGTCGCCAAGAATGTGGCACAGTGCCATGCTTTGCGAATCTTTGACGTGAACGAGACAGTTAGCGGTACCTACCTACATCATCAAGTGTTTTGCAACTGGTACCTACATGCATTAAATGGTCTCCAACCGGCGAACCTCCCAACATCGGTGACCCCCCCACCCCGTCGATAAATCTTGTCCAAAAGGTCCGTCAATGGAGATTGGTACTGAATCGACGGCGCGCAATTTCGAAACGACCGGTACCGCTTCCCGGGGGTAAAGGTCGGCCACCCCCCACAGACCGGTGCGTACCGCGCTGGTGATGAAGGAAGATTCCGCGTACATAGGTGGTAGTACAGGTGCACGGTACAACGTGATGATTCCGAATAATTAAATAATTATCTGCATTTGGAAAGTCAGAAATTCGGATTTCCCTTTCGGAAAGTGATAATTCGGAAAGGTAAAATAACTTTGAAATGGTCCTCAGAAGCCGTAAAACTGCCGAAAACAGCCAAAAACTCCCCTTTTGAGTGAGACCATAGGGCATTCGGATTTTGGTCGGAATCAGCATAAATAATTCCACTTTCCTGGTCGGATTGTTGGAAAATAATTCGAAATAAAATCGTTCGGAATCATCACGTTGAGCTACGGTAGTAGGCCGCTGTATGTACGACAATTGGCGGGCACATAGATTTCGATCTCTGACAGGTTTATAAGCTCTACGAAGACAGAGGTCAAGCCCGGAGAACGGGTGGGGTTGAGACGGTGGTTAACAGGGCCTGTTTGGCTGTGATGCCTGAGAAAGTTAAGGTCAATTGTTTGGGTTTGTCGTGCCCGGTATAATGACCACACCAGATTTGGAGCTTATACTACCTGATCAGAATTCGAGACTCGTCAGGAAAGGCTGCGTGTAGCCGGCGGAGATCGAGAAAGCGGCTTTTTCTCCCTGCATTTTTTTTAGCCGACCAAGAGACAGCTTCTACTTCAAGTTTGTGTGTTCCATGAAAGAACCTTCGCACCTGTATCGCGTGCAGGCGGCTGCATTGCTGCACACTCTGCGCGCACTGCGTGGACATGCGAGCTCTGAACAGCTAGCTTCCCAATGGAATGGACAATGCTTGGATATGTTCGCAGCCAATGCAACTAGGTACCAGCAGCTAGACAAGCCTTTTCTCCTGCCAATCTTAGCAGCCAGACCTTCTTAGCTTCCTCCTAGCTTGCAGTTGGCATTCAGAGTTTGCAAGCGCCTGCGATAAACTCTCAAGACCAGCTGCAGCTGCCAGCAGCTGCAAAGCAAGCACACAAGTGCTCCATCTCACTTCGAACTCCGTGTGCAGCTGCCTTCCTTTGAAGGGGAGAACTACGGAGGTGCAACGGACCGTGAATTGATACAGGACTTGTGGGCTCAATGGTGGCAGCTATGCTGACAGTCTTCATTGGCGGCATTGCACAGACAAAGCAGATGGTTGGGAGCTGCCTCTGCTAACACAAACAGCATTCTAGCGAGCAAACTCGATCCTGTCGCGTACAGCCAGAACAAGCAATTGCACCGTTCCGCATGTCAAGGCTCAGAGTCACGATTTGCCTGCCAGAAGAACGAATCTGCCGTGTAACATTTTCAAGCTGTCGCAGAGGTAGTGCCCGGGTCCAAGGAAGATGCTACACTTGAGCTGAACACCAGATCCTCTTTCAGCGGTTGCAGCACGGCCCTTCGCATCTGTTGGTGTCCGGCGGTCAGTAGCTGAGCTCAAGTTTACCAATCAATTGAGTGGCCCCTTGTCCTCAGCGTCACGTTTGGAGCCCTCTTGAGCTCTGAATAATCAACATTGCATTTGAGCAGGAAATCGATCTATCTTACTCATCACCTCCCCAATGAGAGCTAGTCTGCGAGTTCCAGCTGATGAGCCGCACGTGCAAGACGGTATTTTCCACAAAAAAAAAAAAAAACCTCCCCAATGAGAGGAGGAGAATCAAAGAGAGCCCAAACACCTCACACCATGTCCGCCATTGATTACTCTTGAAGCTCTCTAAACCCCTGCTAAACCTTGTCAAAACCAAGTCTCCCCATCCCCCCAAAAATGGCCGCCCTCCGTCCTGATGGCACAATGGCCCCCGCACAGGGTCGCAAACCACTCGTCCCAATCACCGAAACCCCTTCCCAGGGGGGTCCCGCAAACCTCGCAGCAGAAACCCCCTCCGCTAGCGACGTCCAAGACCACTTCTCTCAAGAGATGCCAGATCGTCTGAGCAAGTACTATGAGCGGTCGCCAAGCCTGGCGCCGTCTTACTTCAAGAGGGGGGGAGTTCAAACGGGTTTGGGGGAGGTTAACGGTGGAGTTAGCGGAGATCCTGAGTACTATAGGAGCCTGGGCAAGGCGGCGCAAGCGGCGTTGATCCACCTGATCATGAAGTATCATGAGGTGAGGTGCGGCTGCTGAACAGGGTTAAGAAGCTGGTTAAGGATGGAATGGAATTGTGAGTCTGGGAGTGCACTTGATGTGCCTGGTTGGCGTTTGGATCGACATGATCGATGGTTGTTCCAGGACCGACGCTCAAAATGTTGCTCAGACGACAGCTTCGATGCTAGAAACTATGACTTGGGTTGCTTACAGAAAGCCTGAGCGGCAAGATTGCTTACAGAAAGCCTGAGCGGCAACATGCGCCACAAAACCAACATTCAAACAAAGGGGCACAAGCCATGCAGGAGAGTGCACTTACAATAACCATGCATGCTTTACAGGAAACTTCTCGACTGCGCTCGCTGTTGAGAAACCCACCACAAGACCCTTTCACTCCTTTGATCAGCAAGCTGAAGGGAGGCTTCAACAGGTTTCACAATTGCCGGTGGTGTTCTCGGATGGGTCAGATCAAATTTTGTTTAGTTAGTAAGCGGCCAACGTCCAGCACAGTCAATTTTGGCGAGAAGTTTGCGGGCCATCAAGTTTGGGAATGCATGCAGCGGTTCTAACCCCAAACCTAACCCCTTTTGCAGACCCTCCTTCAAAAAGGGCTGACGGCCGAGGCTGAGAAAATTTCGAGCTCTTTGAAGGCTCTGAGAGATGACCCTATCGGCGACGCAAATAAGGAACTTACGGGGATGGATCTCTTGATGAAGGACGGTCTTCTGCAATACATGCTCAAGATCGGACCCTTGTTGCCGACACTCCCCGCTCAGGTCCGTTCTCCTGCTTCTTGCCAAGCAGGCCCTTACTGCTCTTGGCGTCGCATTTGTCAACCCACTTTTCAGCTTTATGATGCGGTCCGCTATAACGATCTACCGAACGCCTTTGTATTCTCAATCAGAGGGCTCAATTTTAGGAACCAAGCTCCACCTATCGTACCATCAGAAGATCCACCCCCCGACTAAATGGCGCCAACAAGCCGCCGTTCAGGCCCGTGCCAAAAAGTTACGTTGAGATGCCTACAGCCGGTGACATGTTGTCAACAGTAAAGCTCCATTTCGTACCTAAGACATAAATGACGCCTAAAGGTCCTGTGTCAAATCGGCGTCTTTCAGTCGCTCACGACATAAATGGTGCTGTTTTGATGCCAAACAAGTGCGTCAATCGGCATCCATCTGGTGGGCACCTTTCTGGCCCATCAAGAGTACAAATCTTTCGGGGGGGTGAATTTCTGATGACCAGATCGCAAGTTTCATACATGAGGTTCTCTCTTGGCAACTGGGATTTGTGTGCATCAGTATTGAGATGAGGGGAAGGAGACAAAAACGACGGATAATTGAGTACTTGTGTTTGGTGACATCAGGTTTTTTGGTTCTATGTCCTGGCAACCGTGGATATTCCCCCCATCAATGGGACATGAGATTGGACGGTTATGCTGTAAAAAGACGAGTATGCTGAAAGCCGAGAAAATGAGGAGACTCTCGCAACACGCGCTCCGTGGCCGACCCTTCTCTCTCTGTTTCTGTCCTTAAACTTATTATATTCGTTGTGAAGCTCCATTGCGTTTACCAGATAGAGGTGAGGAGCGAGTAAACAGAGGTGTGTCGGGCCCTTGAGACTGGCAAATGAAAAAGAATCTTTCTTCGTCACGGATCATATCCTTCAGCTGTTCAACGATAGGGACAAGTGAGAGCGGGTGATTAAGTTATGAGGAACTCCGCTCCACTGCTGCAACTCCGTTGGCCTTCTTCCCAAAACAGCAGATTATGTGATCTATCCAGTACAGTAGTCTCGATTTCATCTTGAGTGACGGTTATGTTTATTGTGGTCACGCCCCTGGGACGGGTCGAGCCCATAGTACGGTGGTTTGGATGAGTACTGGTGCGGAGCATGTTGACCTTGGGTTTAGGGTTGTCGTTTGCACTTCAATCGAGTCCGGGGAATTGATTCAACTAGCTCCACGTAGGCCTAACTCAACGTTCAAGACATACACTCATCAAACTTTCTCCCGCTAACCAGGTGGTCACCTTCAAGAACCTGAGCTACTCATCCAAGGTGACGTTCACAAAGGGGACGTACGAAACTGTCGGCACTCAGGTGGGCAGTAATTTCGACTCTGGCTACTTCTCCCCACTCGGTATGCGACTCGAAACCGTTTCCAACTATCAAGATGAGGTCTGAGCCGTCAAAGCGCAGCGCAGCCCTTTACTAGTCTTGTATCGACCTCTGGCGAGATGAATACTCCTTGGTTTCATTTTGGGCCCGGCCCATCTCCTAGTCTGTTTTGCAGTTCCATAGGTGTTCCAAAGGTGGCAATATGCAAAGTATTTCGCTCGACGAGCCCGGTTATGGGATTTCGATGATGTCAGCTAATGCTTCCGTATCAAAAACTGGCTTTCTCCGCCCATCCGTTATTCGTCTTTCATTGAAACCCTGAAACTGAGGTGATCAGATCGGCATCGTCGATAACGCTGATAGTTCATCCTACGTCTCCCCATGTCCCCAGGTAATTGGTCTCGGGACCCAGTTCGTCACGAAGAAGACCACAGGTGACGTGGACATCCTCAAAAACGTCACGGGCTACGTCATGCCCGGGACGATGACCCTCGTTCTGGGCGGGCCTGGCTCCGGCAAGTCGACTCTGCAAAGTCTGCTATCGGGGATGCCCCACAAGGACAAAACAACGACGATCAAGGGCGAGGTACGCGGCTTCTCGGAAACTTTATTTTTGAGGATCTTGTTGAGGGCTTTTAGAGTCTATGTTTGCAGGTTCTAACATCATGACTTAGCGAATCCCGCTCTATGCACACACTGCTTGCGGGGATGCCACACAAAGATAAGGCGACCACGATAAAGGGCAAGGTAGGCAAAGGGAACTTCGGGAATTTGTTTGTGTTTTCGCTCCACTTTTGCTTATCGGACCTCAAAAGTCCACATTTGCAGACCCTATGCTTAGGGCTTGAAAAAGAAGAAAGCACATCGCTGACAGCGCCGTATTCAACAGCCTTTCTGAATTCGCAATCCCGGGGACGCAAGCGGACTTCCGCTCTGTCTGCTTCACGAACATCTCATTCCCTTTAAGAACTAGAGCGATGTCATTCTGGCCCGCAGGCCCTGTCCCCTCCAAGCAAATCATCGGCGGCCCGTCTGAGAGCGGCGACTTCGCTAACCGGAAGCTCGCCGCTGCCCTGCTTCACTTGAGGACGTCCTTTCTAGAAAGTGTATGGACACAAGAAAACAAGTAGTCGGAGGTTTGATTCTTGCAGGGTCCCTTGATGCGGAAGCACGTCGGTGGGGGTCCGTTCCAAGGTGCCAACTTCGACGTCCGAAAAGTCCCCCCTCTAGTGGAAAAGCAGGCCGTTCTATGAGCTTTTTGCAAGAACAGTTTGCAACTAAGAATGAAGCGGAGACTTTTTTTGCAGGTTTCTTACAACGGTAAGCATGTCACCAATCGCCCATCTTTAAGCTCTGACATTCCAATTCAGATTCCGTCGCTTATCCAATAGCCCGATCGGTTCACTCGTTTTCTTTACAAACTAGAGCGACGTCTTTTCTTCGCAGGTTCGGTACAACGGCAAGCACGTCATCGGCGGCCCGTCTGAGAGCGCCGGCTTCGCCGTCAGGAAACTCGCCGCGCTAGTTAAACAATCGGACGTCCATTTCGCGGCCTTGAGCGTGCGCGAGACGCTCGAGTTTGCGCGCAGTTGCACGCAAGTCTGGACCTTTGAGGAGATGTTCCGGCGCAGCCCCGAATTGCGGGAGGTTTTTGGCGCGGTCCTCGCGCAGGGGAAGGATCCGAAGCTGGAGAACGTGATCAACATTCTGGGTCTCAGGTAGGAAATCCAGCTTCCTTTTCTTTCGTGATCCTCTCCAAAATGTTTGTAGTCGGATATTTCAGGTTCCAGTTTTGCGTAGGGTTGGGGTCAAATGATCGACATTCTGGCCTCAGGTAGGGTCGCTGACTGTCTCTCCCTTTTTCCTTCTTTTCTGAGAAGTGTTTGAACACTATGCATGTGTCTGGTTGTACTCCGCACAAATATGGGGTGCGAAGTGATCAGAATTCTGGGTCTCAGGTAGGAAAGACAGCTGTCTTTGTAATCTTCAGTTTTTCGTTGATTCTTAGTAAGACTGCGGAGTTGGAATAGCATCCGCCAAAATGTCATGCGCCCTGCGCCCGTACCCCTACTAACCACCAACTTAATCCCGTCCAGTCCCGTCCCGTCCCCCTGGTGCTCATCTCTATATACACATCATGCAGTGTAGACTTGCAGGCGGACCGAACAACTGTGAAACCATCGAGAATAGCAGCCCCAATCAAATGCTCTTCCTGAAACGGGAACTTTCTGGATGTCGCATGTGTGGTGAGTGTGTTGCCCTTTGTTGGAAACTAGGCAGCAGACCCCGTCCTGCAAAGACGTACAAATCACAAGCTAAGGCTTGCAGACTGTCCTTACCTTCAGAAATTTCTGCGTCGCCCTTTTCGCAAACTTCTGTTGACGTTTTCTATTCAACTTTCAGGCGCGTTCTGAACATGCCGGTGGGCGGTCCAATGACTCCCCCCACGCTCACCGAAGACGAGCGGCGCCGCGTTTCCGCCGCGGAAATGGTCGCCGGAACGTACGTCCTCCTCTTCCTAGACGCCTTTGCCACAGGGGTCGACGCGGCGACCGCATATGACATCGCGAGCGGGCTACGGGTTCTGGCCCGGGTTAGGCAGCTGGGAATCGTGGCGAACATCGTTAATCCGCCCCCGGAGGTTTTCGGGTTGTTTGATCGGGTTATACTGCTGGACCGGGGGAGGGTGGTTTACCAAGGGCCGAGGGCGGATGCGGTTCCTCACTTCGAGTCGCTCGGGTGAGGATTGTGCGTCTCTACTCCAAGTCTTTACATATCTCGGCATTTCAGCTTGGATACTTTGCACGTCAGGGGAGTAAATTCTTCTGCAAATGTTTACGAGTCACCATTTTCCGGTGATTTGAGACTTTGTTGTCCACGTATCTAGCGCGAATGGATCATGCAGGCGTCAGAAAAGCGTTGTTTAAGACCTCCTTGGCATGCTCAGGGTCCTGGACAGCGTCCCTGCTCGTCCTCGTTGCCCTTCTGAACCGTCCCGGAAACCCCTTTTCATGTAATTAAACCCGATCTCTCAGATGATCAGTTTCCAGGGCGCTCAGCTAGTACTCTAGTACCGCTGACCTAAGCAAGGGCAACCATGTTCTCGACCTTGACCCAATCCTCAAATTGATCGAAGTTACTTCCTTCGGGCGGCTGTTTGGCCCCAGTGCTGACTCCAGACTAAACCCCTCCTGCAGGTACATCAAACCCGACTTCCTGGACATAACCGAGTTTCTCCAGGAGGTAACTTCCCCTGACGGTGCCCAGTGGTTGTCCCCCGGACACTCCCCTCTCGACCTCGGGGGGTTCGTTTCCGCCTATGAAGCTACCCCCCACTACGCCGACATTTTGCGGGTGGTTAACTCCGCCGATCCCCCTCACGTTCTCTCCGTCAAGGCCCCCAAACCGCTTGGGTTAAATCTCCTGGCTCGAAACGGCGTACCAGCAATCGCGCGGATCGAAGCGAGTAGTTCGCTGACGTCAGCGGAGCAGACGGTCCACTTCACCGGGGCCGTGAAGGAGGGTGACGTCATCACGGCGGTGTCTGCTCCCGAGGGGGGGCTGGTTTACCTGGCGGGGAAGGGGGGGGAAGCGAGCGTGGAGGAGCTCGAGGCGCGGCTTCACGAGGCGGCGGATCCAGTCCGGTTGCAACTAGAGCGGGCGACCCCAGAGGTGCGATTTGCTCATTCGCCTCGTTCCGGAGTTTCAAAAACAGAGGTCCCGGAGTCTGAGAGCGAAGACGTGGCGAGCTTGACATGATCTTGTTCACTTCTTCCGTCTTCGACGTGTGACACTTTCACTTCCCACTATTTGTAGAGCAACGTCTCCTGATTTTGAGTGGCGTCATCGTTTCTTGCTTCAGTTGCGGTCAAGTGTAAGTAACTTCAGCTGACGTCACAGGTACTGCAAGATCATCGCAACATTTTGTGCGTGTCCGCAGGGAACTAGTTGCTTTCGGGTCTCTTACGTCACAGGAAGCGACGTGGGTCAATCCAGACCCCACTTTGAAACCGATATTCTTTCTTTTGGTAGCGCTTTTTTTCTTCCCGTTCGCTTCCCTTCCGCTTGTTGCAGTTTCGGGCCCCCTCCAGATGTCGTAGCGCCTCCTCCCAGATGCATTTCTTAGTTGCCATTCTTCCAGTCTGACGTTTCCCGGATTGGTTCCTTCGCTTCTTCCTCTACCTCCGCCTTCTGTGCATTTAAAGGCAGCTCCAGTTCCGTTCCGACAGCGGCAGAGTGCGATTTCGTCAAGCGGAATTGGTTCTGCATAGATTCTTGCGTCTGTGTTGGTAGCGGCAAAGTCCGGTCCCTTCGGCGAGTTTCGTTTCGAACTTTCTTCGCGATTCTGGTTCCACTCCGGCAACGGCAAAGTCCGCTTTCGTTTTGCGGGGTTGGATTTTCTGCGCAGTTCCGGTTCCATCCTGGCAGCGGCAGATACCGTTTTCGTCCGGCGTCGTTCGTTTTACGCAAGTAATGACACTCAGATAAGCATAATCTTGCCCTGAACCGACTTTTATCAAAGCCCTGATTCCCTTCATCCTTAAAAAGCCTTATACACCCTTAAAAGCCTTATACACCCTTAAAAGCCTTATACACCCTTAAAAAGCCTTATGCATAACACCCAAAACCCAAAAAGTTGTTTCCTCTTCGTCGCAGCCTGACGACAAGGACATCATCAATGAGCAGTTCACGCAGGAATATTCGCTGCCCTTTTGGGCGGAGTACCGTTTCCTGTTCGACCGGGCCTGGAAGGCGCAACTGCGCGGGAAGCTCCTGCTCTATTTCCGAGCGTTCCAGGTAGCACCCCACTTCTAGTAGTTCCTTCTTTGGTATGCCATCTATCTGATGGACCCCTCTGGAAGCTTTACACTTCTCGACAAGGTGGCCCTTTTCACTATCTTTCTGCGCATGCGCACAGTGCCAGAGTCCCTCTTCCGGGAGATAGTGTTCATCGACTCTAATAAATTATCCTTTCATACAAAGATCGGGACGGTGGATCATTCCCTCCCGCTTTGGCTGCAATGCTCGTTGCAGGGTTGCAGCTTTCCTTACGGCGATGTTATTATAGAAGGTAATTCTTATGGATGTTAACCAAAGTAGAAGTTTGTGTTCCTTTGGATCACACTCATTTGGCTTTGACTAGGGAGCTCTCTTCATCAGATTGGAAACAGTTTTCGTAGAAAACTGTTCAACCTGTTGCTCTTTACCTTGACGTCCTTCAGTATGGTATCTGCCTGACGCTTCCAAGAGCATATCTTCCGAAGTTTCAGGTTACCTTCATGTCCCATCCCGATACTCAACGCAACAAACCCTTTGCAATCGAACCGTCTCCTTACACCTTTCAAATTACGTTCATCTCCCTTCAAGTTTTTGCTGGAACCATATTCTGTCTACGGATCCGCCTTCACTTACATAACATTTTTCTGGGATTTGGTCACCTCTAACTACGTATCAACGGCTTTTCCCCAGGAATGATCCCAGCCCCTCTTTCAAAAGATTCGTTCTTATCGCTTTGCAGTTGAGCTTCATTTCCCTTCTGGTATCTCGACGGCTCCGGCGCTTCGCTTCAGTGAACCTCCTCGCTTCTTTTTTGATCAGATTCAGAGTAGAACTCATCTTCTGTTCAATGGTTTCTCTTACGTTTTAGATCACTTCTCTCTCTCTATTCAGATCACGTTCATCTCCCCTTTGTGGGGACCATCTTCTGGCAACTACGATTGCGCCGACTTCTCTCGCGAAAGAACCTCCTCGCTTCTATTTCCCACAGCTTCATTAGACATATCGAGTTCTGATCAAAGTCTTCTCTCACGAATCATTTTATTTCCTTCTCTTGTTTCAGAGCACGTTCCTCTCCCTTTTCGTGGGGACCATCTTCTGGCAACTCGACGACTCCGCCGACTTCTCTCGCGATTGAACCTCCTCGCTTCTTTCTCCCACAGCTTCATTGAAAAAGTCAAGGTTCTGATCAAAGTCTTCTCTCTCGAATCATTTCATTTCCTTTTCTCGTTTCAGATCACGTTCATCTCCCTTTTCGTGGGGACCATCTTCTGGCAACTGAACGAGTCCGCCGACTTTGCCCATATGAACACGCGCCGCGGAGTCGGTTTCCTCTCCCTCATGTCAACTTTCCTGTGCAACGCCATCCAACTTCCCGGTCAACTGGCAGACCGGGCGGTTTTCTACAAGCAACAGGGCGCCCGGTTCTACCGGCCCGGTTCGTACCTGCTCGCGAGCGTTGCGGCCAACTTCCCCTTCTCGTGCCTGGAGGTGCGGCCGGACATCCTTGGATCTTGGCTTTGGGGTTTTGTTAGCCTCTGAGGGTTTTCCAAATTCTTTATCTTGACGAAATATCAAAAGTGGATTCCTCGGAGGTACGGTGTGATTCCTAAAGCTGTAGCGTTGTGGACAACTCCCCCTTCTCGAGCTTCGAGGTATATCTCTTTGAATTGAGCGCAGCATGCGTTAGAAACAGAAACCTTCACCACAGAAAACTCTACTGATGTTGGGTTAACCAAAGAAAACTCAGCCACAGAACGCTCCACCACAGAAAACTCCATCAGTGTTGGGTTTACCACAGAAAGCTCAACCGCAGAAAGCTCCACAACCGAGAGGTCCACCAGTGTTGGGTTAACCACAGAAAGCTCCCAACCCAACACTTGAGAGACTATTCTCAAAGCCACCTGCTTTGCACCCGTATCCGCCATAGACCTCCACACTAACCTCACCTGTCCGAAGGTGGAGAGCTTACTTTTCCCTAACGCTTACACTCCATGAAATCGATCTATGTCTATGTAAAGCGGTGTTCAACTTTGTCCACTTCTGTTCCGCCACAAAAGCGTTTACGGGAGAAGGTGACGTGCGCTTGTACCTTTGCCCCGATATGAGTGAGATACGCGAGCCCCTAGTTCCAATTCATCTAGCTTGTGAAGGACTCAAATCAGTCGCTGAAAGTTGGATGGAGCAGACAAGTCACCAATATCGTCTCTCACCCGTAGCTTTCCCTGGTCCGCCATAAAGCGGTTTTGTGATTGAGAATCGGAGCTCTCTGCCAGCGTTCATTAGAAAAGTTTCATTCTTGGAGTCACAAACACCGACAAATGTCTCAGAGAATCCGATCCGGAAACATCATAGCCTTTTCGCGCAGAAACATCATAGCCTTTTCGCGCAGGCTCTCACGTATGGCGTGATCGTCTACTTCATGACGGGCTTGTCTCTGCACGAGGGCAGCGGTCACTTTTGGCTGTTCCTGCTAGTCATCTTCCTTAACGTGCAACAAGGGGCGCTCCTCGTCCGCTGGCTCAGTTCGTTCGCACCTGCAATGGAAACGGCCGCAGCCTTGCAAGGTGAAGCTTGAGAAATGGGTTTGGGTCCAGGTTTGGCTTTAAGTTTTGGCTAATCATGCTGGTCAGTCTCCCAAACGTCCAACAAGGAACGCTTCTTGTCCGCTGGCTCAGTTCTTTCGCACCGGCCTTGGAAACGGCGGCAGCCTTGCAAGGTAAAGTCTAGTTAGAAAACACAAGACCTGGGTTTGAAACCAGGTTTAGTTTTGAAGATTTGGCTGTTTCTATTGGTCAATTTTCTGAAACCCCGACAGGGGGGGCTTCTGGCTCTCCGCTGGCTCATTCCTTTGCACCGGCCATAGAAACAGCGGCAGCCTTGCAAGGTGACATTGATCTGATGTGGGCTTTGCTAATGTTGACACATTGGGGCCTCTCGAATATTCAGACTGTGACTTTCGCCGCTTTGATAATAAAAGTGCTTGATCCGGTAAGGGAAGTATCTTGACACTGCCAAGCACTCCGTTTTCTCACACCGTTAATCTCCCACTTGGCAGTGCCTCCAATCCATTCGAAGGACGCGCCCTGGGATATGGACTGATTTTCCGACTGTGCAGGAATCTTCATCGTGATTTTTGTGGCGTTTGCTGGCTTCCTCGTGCCTCGCAACAAGATACCCGACTGGTGGTGAGTATTTATGAAGTCGCTTTTCTGCTACTCTCTGGCCTATGTTTCCGGGATCTGCACGAGAAGCACTTTGGGAAGAAACCGGTAATCAGTGTCTTAGAACTAGTGACTGCGTTATCTGCTCAAGGAAGTTTTCTTTTCGCTTGGAAAATCCTCCTCGTAAGTCCCAAACGCTTCGGTCGCTTTCCAAGGCTGGTCGCTTCGGACCAAATAAGCCGATCAAGAGTGTCGATTAGCTTCCATTAGCGCACTTCAGTAAGCAGAGCCTCTCACTTCAAAATGTGAACGATGGAGTCCCGAACTTGCGTTGGGCTTGACACCATAACCACTCCCCGCTTATTGCGCAGGATCTGGGCGTATTGGATGGACCCGCTCCAGTGGGGCATCTCGATCATCATGATAAACGAGATGCGCTCAGCGACGTATAAGCAGCCGTGCGCCAGCTTTACGCCCCAGTACTTATTGGCCCATACGCTGACGGGGCCCTGCCGCCAGGCCCCAGACCGCGAACTGGGCTTCGCTTATCTCGTCCAGTGGCAACTGAAAACAAGCTGGTAAGACGTTTTTTTCTCTTGTTTGGCCCCATTTTGCATTCACCAGCCAACAGGTAGTAGTAAGACTGAGATTGTGGGATATCACGGTCGTAAAATGTGACTAATTGTGCTTCTTGTTTTCTGCTGAGGCGAACCTCAGAAATTGGCTCTCTTAGCTCCCGTCTAGAAGGCAACGTAGACTAGTGTACCGCGACTGGGAATCAGTCAATCCGTCAAGCTCGGACACGACGACGTTGTGCTTCTCAGTTCCGCTTTCGGGAAGCCGAAAAGCGACTTCCTTGATTGGCTCATTTGCAAATTCAATACAGCTCTTAGATTGAGATTGAGCGGGACATCTCAGGCAGGCGGTCATTGAGCTCAGCAGAAATGATTTCTGTTTTGTCAATTATTTTACGGAATGTGTATGTCCTCCTAGGTACTGGGTCCCTATCGGCGTCGTCGTATACCTGACATGGTGCGCCCTATGGCTCGGCCTGTCCTACGTGGCACTCTCCGAGATCCGCCACGTGGTGGTCCCCAAAGTCCGCCCTTTGGCGGCCCGTAAGGGCTCCGCAGCGCCTGAGGTTAAGGCGGGAAACCCGGAGAAAGAGACCGCGACAACGCACGATGCTGAGAAGGGCGCCAATATCAAGGTAACCGACCTTCCTTCCTTTTCAATTTTCAAAGACTCTTTTGCTCAAATTTCCTGGCCAGGTACTTCTTATGAAGCTTTGATTTATATGGATCTGGGGAAAAGGCAGGAAATCCGGATGAAGAGACCGGAGCAACGCACGACGCTGAGAAGGGCGCCAGTCCGAAGGTAAATGTCGTTTTCCATTCAGTCTTTCCTTCTCCTGTCTTCCTTTGATTGAAAGCTAGGCCAGGTATTCTAAAAAGCCAGGAGTCATATCGACCTAGGGAAAGAGCGGGACAACCGCAGAGAGTGACCTGTGTAATACACGATGCAGAAAAGGGCGCCAATATGAAGATCACGGACCATTAACTTTGTCTTCTTCTCCTTTCTTCCATCTTTTGTTTCCGTTGATGAGTCCAGATCTGCTCATGACGTTCGTGAGAACAGATTTCGATGTTTATGGAAGAAACGGGTCGCTGCTTCGAAGCAAGCTGAAAGAGCGCCTGTGCTGACGTCAGAACTCCTACGCAAATTGCGTTATTTCTCGTCGGAATCCTTTGCGTCGGCCGCTCTGAAGCCGCCCATCGCTCCCAGGAACTGTCGGGAACGGAAATGTTTCCGCACTTGGTGCGCACTTCGCGAGCGAAGACCAGGGTATCATTCTCTCGGTTCTTGCAATTCCTTCGAAAAGCCTCGTCGGTTCCTCGCCGCTTTCAATAATAACCTGAAGCACTAGAGATGTTTCCGCTCATTCTCAATCATTACTTCCCCAGCCAGTCGAGTCGTCACGACCTGAGCCAGTCGTCCGTGAGTCGCGACTTCAAGCAGATTCCGTAAGCAAATACAGAAGACTCCACCAATCCTTGCGGATATCGGACTCTATGACTGAAATGCCGTTACGCTTTCCTAACCCAGCCAAACATGACGTCACTCCCCTTCCTCCCAGTCAGGCTGATCTGACACGACCTGTGCCACTCACTGACTCTCCCATATATATGCGCAGATTAGTAAGAACAGTATGCAAAACCCCATAAATTCCTGGCGCTTTTCGAACGGTCGTGACTGAAATTCCGTTGCGCTTTCACTCCACCCATGTATGACATCACTCCCCTTCTCCTCGGTCACGCTGAGCTGGCATGACCTGAGACACTCCGTGTCTCCCCCCGACTACGAGCAGACTCTTGAAAAACAGTAATGTAACACTAGCTACATTTCTGGTGGTTTTCAAACTGTCGTGACTGAACTCCGTTCCCTTTCCCTCCAGCCATGTATGACGTCACTCCACTTCCTTCCCGTCACGCTGAGCTGGCACGACCTGAGCCACTCGGTGGTAATCCCCGGTGTTGGCGAGTCGAAGAACGTACTCAGTTACGTGTCCGGTTGGGCCAAACCGGGCCGTCTACTGGCGCTCATGAGCAGCGGGGGCGCGGCGAAGTCGCTGCTGCTGCGGGTTCTTGCTGGAAAGATGGTGAGACGGTTTTTCTTGGAGTAAAGTGCTCTTACGTCGAAGATTCTTGCTGCAAAGATGGTGAGGACCGTTCATTCTCGGACTGAGATAGTCTTACGTTGAAGGTTCTCGCTGGAAAGATGCTGAGACGGTTATGCTGGGAGTAACATGCTCTCACGTTGAACTTTGGAGTACAGGCCTGAGCTCTCGCCAAGAGATGCAAGCAACGGTTAGTGACTCGAAGACGTCTCTTGGGAGGATGAGAGGAGTATTCATTCCGTAAGCGAAAGCCAACGGACGGACGAGTGGAATGAACGAGACCGGAAGGGTTTTAGAACCCACCTCTTTTGTTTCTCAAGGAATGTTGAGACTTTCGTAAGCAGTTATTGGTTGCACATTTTGCACCGCCTTCATCCCAAGGATGCTAAACATTGTCGAGTCAAAAGCCTCGGATATCCGAAACCCATGGTTCGAAGAGCCTGTTTCCTCCGCGCATACAGAGCTAGCTTATAGAAACACGCGACGGGTTCCGTGAAAAGTCTCAAGCCCTTTCTCTGGCGAATGTCTTCCTCAGTCGCACAAGATTACGTTGCTTTTGCTTTCTGAAAGGCCAGGATTTGTTCCTGAGGATTCAGATAGGGTTATCCCTTAACTTTGACCGGTCCCGGGCCAAACAACCGGGCAGATCCTGGATGACGGTTACCCTCGGAACCCCGCCACTTTCTGCCAATATTGCACCATGGCTAAAATTGTGGAGAGTCAATTGCCATTCATGACAGCTTCTGACAGGCCTGCTCCTTAACCTTACCCTTAAACGTAACCTAAACCCTGACAGGTCCCGGGGCGAACGACCGGGCAGATTTTGGTTAACGGCTACCCGCGAAACCCCGCCACTTTCCGCCGGTACTGCACCATGGTGGAAAGAGTGGAGAGTCATTCGCCGTTCATGACGGTCCGCGAGGCGATCCAATTCAGCGCCCGGTTGCGTCTACCGGGGACGACTACTGAGAGCCAAAGGGAGGCGTTCATTGACCAGGTTTGTAACGCGAGCAATTCCCCGGTTCTGCATTGTTCCCTTAACCACACTTAACGGATCTGGGTGGATCTTGAGTCCTTCAACTGTCCAGAATCTGCCTTGCTCTCTTTATCTGCACAGTCTTATCCAGCGCCCGGTTGTGTCTACCGGGGACTACTACCGAGGGCCAAAGGGAGGCGTTCGCGTTGACCAGGTCAGCTTAATCTCTAATTATTTGCGCTTGCTTCCTGTGGTTGGACACGCAGTTGGGAGCAGCCCACTTCAGCGCCCGATTAAGCCTACCGGCGAGTATCACCGCGGGCCAAAGGGAGGCGTTCGCTGACCAGGTCGTCGTGCAAGCGACCTTCCAGTTTTCTAGTGTTCGCTTGACTCACTCTGTCGATCTGTGTGGACCTCGAAATTTTACCCATTTTTGGGTTTGCATTCGCTTCTCGATTTGGCGCCCGGTTGTGTGTTCGGTGAGCACTACCGGGGGAGAGAGAGTGCCGTTGGTTCACCAATTCAGTTAACAGCCCTTAGAAAGGCGGAGGACCTGACCCTGACGCAATGAAACCAGGCCAGCGTCGCGCTGAATGACGCGCGCAATTTGACGGTCGCCGTAGCAGAACTCCTGATCTGAAAACGGTACCCGTGAAATGCTCAAAGGTTCATTCTCTCTCTCTTGAAAAGATCCTAAATGTCATGGAGCTCCGCCCCTTCAAGAACGTGCTGGTCGATTCCTGGACCAAGGCGGCGACACACTAGCTAACGCGCACAAGCTGACGGTCGCCGTAAACGGATCCCCTTACTTGAAACCTCCAGTTGCGGAAATTGGAAGTCTGAAACTGAGCACATTATTCTGTACAGATTCTGGATGTTATGGAGCTCCGCCCCTTCAAGAATGTGCTGGTCGGTTCTCTTGGCAAGGCCGGCGTCACGCTCGCTAATGCGCACAAGCTGACGGTCGCCGTCGAACTGGCCGCAAACCCGTCGACGCTTTTGATGGACGATCCTCTCTCCGGACTCGACTCGCGCTCGGCAGTGCATGTGCTGCACTGCATCAAGAACGCGGCGGTCGACTGCGGCCGAACCGTCGTCTGGTCAGTCAATTGAACTCTCTTTCGAATCTTTGCTAGGTTTCGGATCTCCGTTGTTTGTTCGTTGACTTTCTCCTGCTGTTCGTAAGTTTTCGTACTTCCTCTTTCGATTGTGAACGCCCGAAGCGTGCTCTACTGCACAAATGCGGCGGTCAATTGTGGTGGAACGGTCGTAGTTGCTTCAGCTTCCATTCCACCAGTTATCTTGGACTCGCTTGTATGATTCTGGACTTTCTTGTTTTCTGTTACATCCGACGCGCTTTCTGCTTTTTGACTGCCCTAACTTTTAGCCAAAGGAGGTTGGGCACTAAAGGTTTTTCTTATCTATCGTCAGATAGTGCATACTGTTTCGCGTAATCCTTACTGAATAACTGTGCAAAGTTCCCTTGCCTCCTCTCCTACAAAAGTAGCCGGCCTCTTTTCTTGATTCGCTGTCCTCACTTTAATAAAGCGCCATCCTTTAGGAAGGCGTTTGACATGTGGGCTGCCAGGTGTCCATCCCCCCAATGTGCCGATTGCACGGCGTCCATCACCCAATCTGAGGCACGTGCTTTGCCTAACTCCGCTGACGTGCGCCGCTACGGAACGTTCTGACACCTGTCCCACAAATGCAGCGCAATCACCAGCCCGAGGCACAGTGCTCACAGTACTTGCGTGCTATCAGCTTAAAAGGGTTTGAACTCTTAGGCCTTTTGTTGTGCTGGAACTCATTATGCTCACATCTGCAGGCTACGTCGCACATCCGATGAAGCGTGTGACTCGTCCGCTCGACTTGTCCTTCGCTAAGTCTGAAGAGACTGATTTCCGTGACGTGTCCCCTTCTCATTCGCAGCCCATCCGCAGCCAAGAGCATAAGGCCAGCGGGTCTTTGCCTTTTTTTCGAACGAAAGTATCTGACACGTGATTCTTTCTCACTCGCAATACCATGTCGCAGCCCAACACACGTGCCATGGGCGACAACTTTGCTGTCGCACGCGCAGACTTTGATTCTTGACGCTTGTTACTCTCTCATCCGCAGCACCGTTACGCAGCCCGGGGCACGTTGCCTGGGCGTCTTCGACGATCTGCTGCTCCTCAACGCCGCGGGCGAGACGTGCTACTTCGGAGAACTTGGCTACCGGGGTCAAAAGCTCATCGTAAGCTTATTCACTCCCAAGTTTGTAGGAAGCTGGTAATGAACTCAAGACTCTGTCGCTACTAAAATTGCTTAAATAGCCAAGCCTTTAACCGGGCAAGACAAACGAGAAACCCTACTCAGACTGCTTCAAGCGCTCCGCAACCGAACCACTCCTTCCTCCGGAACTCACCCTACCCGCCCCTCTGGTGCGATGTTATCATTCATTACGTTCACTATACATAGATTCAGGACTTTTAAAATATGGCGCTTGTACACATCGTGGAGGTTAGCAACGAAAGATATGGCGGCGTAGGACCCTTCGCGCATACCTTCACAGGGCGACAATCGAGCCGGCCACTTTGCATACTTGCCAGGACTAGAGTCGGAGTTCTTCCTTGTTCATGGACTGGAACACCTGATTCAAACGAACTGACCAACAAAGGGAAATCTCGAAACAAACAAACACTCCTATGAATCTGCCGTCTTGCTTCATGGCAACACTAGTACCCCTCGTAGCGACCCGCATTCCAAGCTTACAAGCCGGAAACCCTAAGAACGATTGTGTGTTGACCAGACACAGGGTCTTTTGCACCGTGGTCGATCGTATTTGGAGGCGATGCATAGAACCCCTTACATCGACTCGACCCTGACGTGTTCCGACCATGTAAAGTTCGTGACCTTCTGTCGCAATCCATACTGTTGATTGCAGATTGAGGGTTGAACCTGCTTGTGGTAATTTTCAAAAACCATTGGTACCAAACACACACTCTTGAATTTTCACAGTCTTATTTCGAGGCAATTCCCGGGACCCCTCGCATCGACCGTGACGTCAACCCGGCCACATATGTGCTGGTCACTTGGATAGTGTCAATCGAATTTCAGCGAGCAGACGTGAAATTCATACCTTCACACCAAAGAGTCTTAACCTACATTTTGCAGTCTTACTTTGAAGGGATCCCCGGGACCCCTCGCATCGACCGGGACGTCATTCCGGCCACATATCCGCTGGCCTTATCGTTGGTGTTGATTAGTTCTAGAGGGCAGAATGTCCATCCCAAACGCTCTTAATGTTTCTTTGCAGTCTTACTTCGAGGGGATCCCTGGAACCCCACGTATCGACCGTGACGTCAACCCGGCCACTTATGCGTTGGGCGTCACTGGAGCAGGAATTGACCCGAGCAGGACCGGTGGAAACCATACGTTCCGAGACTACGCGTTTGAGTACAGAGTCAGGTGACGACCTTTTGACTTGTGCATCGAAGTTCTGGAGTTTCAGTGTCTTGAGGGCATACCATAAGCCAGCCGAGTTGCCGTGCGGGTAAAGACGAAGGGAGCAGGGGCACATGCGATACATACGTGATAGGGTCTGAGTTCGTTGATCTCCTTCAACCCTTCCTGATTCAGTATCCCCGACTCCCCGACTGTTGTTCTCAGAACTCCGTCCATCGGTAAAGGAGAGCGGTTTTGTTGTTGTCCTTTTCTTGCACGCCTCCTGTGCGCGCAAAAGCAGAGACAAATAGCTTGTTAAAGTGTGACTGTGCTTCATTTGTAGATCTGGAACTAACGAAGTTGTTCTGACTATCTTTTAAGTTCCTTGAAGCGCTTTCTTTCAGCGACCCCGGCTTTCGCCAGGTCTCTGAGGTCGTCTTTGAAATGACCTCTTTGTGAATGTGTTGTTGCCCTCGGAAACATTTCCTTCCGCTTTCTACGTACCTGCGTGTTGTGTTCGACGAGACGTTTCGACTTTTCCTGTGCACTTTTTATCACTTTTGTCAGTGGCTTATCCTCTGACCCATCTCCTATCCCCCCTCAGCGACCTGGCCTTCAGCCAAGTGGGCGAAATCGAGTCGCTCCGCCGCGGGAAGGGCAAGCTGGGCGACGAGCCATCGCTTATGGGCCCGGCGGCGCCTTATGCCCGGCAGTTCTGGGAGATAGTCCTCCGTATGCAGCGCTACCACTACCGCAACCTGCACTACAGCTGGGCACGTGTCATGTCGTCCGTGATCCTCGGCCTCATATTGGGGTCCATCTTCTTGAACATAAGCTATCATACGACGCCGGGCATGCAGGTGCGTATGACTGCAGTGACTCGTGCACTTTCTCTTCTCGTGTCTCGTTTCTACTACTTGGCTTCCCATGAGAAGTCAACCGAAGTTACTGGCAACTTCAGTCCCGCCTGTCGATGTATTGTCAGTGTTATGAAACCCTGAATACTTCCTGAACCGTTCTTCGAATCCATCGAACGGCTCTCTTTGCAGGCACGTGCCGGTTGCATCTTTGTTACTCTGGTCATTAACGCAGGCCCAAGCTGATTGCGGCATTTTCCAAATTGCCACCACCGCATAACCCCAGACATTTACTCGGTTATAATCGGGTATTGTGCTGACATGTGGCGGGTTTCCTTTTCATCATCCTGGTGAATAATTCGTTGCGCGCCCACTGTTCACCAAGATTTACTTTCCCTATCGCAGAGCGTTTCCAACCGCTTCTTGTCTGATCAAACGGGTCTTGTGATCACAACGATGAACCCGCCACTTGACCTGCACCGCAGCAGAAAAGACGATCTGTCCCCCATTGCCAAGTACCAACCGTTCTTCGGCTGATCAAGTGGCTCCTGTGCAGGCACGTTGCGGGTTCGTCTTTGTAATCTTATTTTTGACGAGGTTGGCGACGCCGAAAATGCGGCAAAAGACACAATCAGCACACCGTCTCGAAATAACGACTGTTTCTCTGCGGCTGATCGAACGGCTCCCGTGCAGGCACGTGGCGGATTCGTGTTCATCATCCTGGTGATCAACGCGGTGGGCAACGCCCAAAACGCGGCGGGGCAGGTTCTGAGCCAGAGACCCGTGCATAGGCGGGAGGTCGGGAACGGGATGTACACTTTTGCGTTTGCAAACGTGGCGTGGGCGCTTGCTGAGGTACGTGGGTTATAAACTTGGGTTAAGGGTCCGTGAGAAGAGGGTTTTGGGTTTATGGGCTCGGTCAGAGACCCGTTGCATAGGCGGGAGGTCGCGAAAAGGCATTTACACGTTCGCGTTCGCAAACGTGGCGTGGGCGCTCGCTGAGGTACGTGGGTCATGAACTTTAGTTAAGGGTTCAACCCACCCCATTCTCATCCCGAGAAGATAGGGTTTTGCGTTCTCGGGTTTTGGTCAGTACTCGTGCTTAAGTGGGAGGTCGGGAACGGTATGCACACTTTCGCGTTCGCAAACGTGGCTTGGGCGCTCGCTGAGGTACGTAAAGCTGAAACTTAGAGGCGTGAAAACTTTTCTGTCCGTGGTTTTTCTAGGCTTTCGGGGTTCCATTGGATCTCTGGGTCTCAGGTCAGCGGCGTAGAGAAAGGAGAGGACATCGAAACAGGGTTTGGAAACGGCATCTATAATTTCCGTTCGATCGCAAATGTGGGTGGGCGCTCGCTGGGGTACGTGATCTATGGATTTTAGTCACTTGTCGGTCGTTGTTTTGGGGTTTGGATTTGAGGGTGTCGTCAGCGATTTCGACAGAAGCGGGAGGACATATGCGGGAGGTCAGGAACGGCATGTAAAGTTTGCGTTCGCAGAATTGCGTGGGCGCTCGCTGAGGAACGTGAACTGTGGGAGTCAAAATGTCGAAAGCTAAGGATCCGTAACCGCAATTTTGCTGGTATTGTTATTAAAGTGTATGGTCAGCGGCTCGTGAAACAATGAGAGGTCAAGAAACGCATGTCGATTTTTGTCTCCGTTTGTAAACGGGGAGTGGGCGCTCATCAATGTGATACGTAAAGATCAGGGTCCGTCTTTCTTCAGTTTCCAGGGGTTTTTTAGATTACTGGGTTCCTCCAAGTTTTGATTTATGCTCTAAACCGCTAAAGCAAACTGTTAAGCGCTATTGCTCGGTCCGTGCAGGTCCCGTATCTCGCCATATCGACGCTCGTTTTCTGCAGCATTGCATGCACGATGGCCAATATCGTGACGGGGTCTTTTGGGACGTTCCTCCAATTCTGGTTCACGCTCTATATGTTCTGTCTCGCTGTCACCTACTTCGGAATGCTCGTCGCGGCTGTCAGCCCCACTCCCGTGGTGAGTCCAAGTTGGCAAATACTAAAGTTCGTTATCGTCAGATATGTATCTTCTTTTGTTTGCTGGGTTCTTTTGTGATTTTCAGAGGTCTGCATGTTCTGTCGCGCAATCAGCCTCTTCGGAATGATCTTCGCGGCAGTCAGCCCACTCCCGCGGTAAGCTCAGGTTGTAATCCTCATAATCGTTATCGTAAGAAATGTTTTTTTGTCTGTTTGCTGGGCTTTTTACGATTCTTCAGAGATGGAGAGGTCTGCATATCTTGCCTCGCCG